TTGCCAGACTAAGATCTCAAAAGCTACGTTACGCGACAGTAACTTTGTATTAGAAGAGATCGGTAGACGGGCTTGCGGACCGCTTTGTGTCGATCGGTTAAAGCTCACAAACCGTCGCTTGAGACACAATAGGCTTGGTGGAATATCTTGCCTCATTCTCCTAGATTGTAGTGATAGTATCTTGACATCACTTTATGTGCAACAGTAGTTGTGTGAGCTCCAGTAGCTGTAGAGCTTCCAATTAACCTAGAGCAGCAGAAACAACTGCCCATATTTAAACCTATTTAATTTTTAATTTATAACAAATACTATATTATGGTAATAAGTAAAATGTCTGCTGAGATTATAGAAATAAATACATTGAATACCAATTTTTCAGAATAAAACCGATTTAACTGAAAGCATTAAATGGGCAAACTTATTTGAATACTATGTTTGTGTTAAATCATCAGGTGACGGAGACTATCAGTAAAGATATTACATTCAAAGCTTTATTGTTGAGCATCGATCAAGTGACGCGCTATGGCAACATGTACAGGGAAGGGGTGATACAATTCAAGGTATCTAAAAACCTGTTCTTTCTTCTTGTTCTTATATATAATAATATATATATTTATAAACCTTCCATAAATACAAAAAAAAAACACAGAAATAGAATCTATGATGACTTGCATCATTAATGTAAAATTATCTCTTATTTTATTATCACCAAGGTGTGACAAGGCACTGTCCATACATTGAAAATATTTACAAAAAGCGCTAGCAGCATTATTGATTCAATCCCAAAAACTGTTTTATTGTCTTTTTTTCAAGTAAACTACTAGAAATATTTTAATGAAACTGCATTTAGAAGCTTACAAAATTAAAGCATACATAAAAATGTCTTGCTAAGGTGACTGACTAAAATTATTATAAAACCAATTCTTTCGGTAATTAAACACAGCCAATGTCAGATGGTCATTTATTTCAAATAACTTTATATTACTTACTAAAATAAAATAAAAATAAACAAGCCTTTTATTTCACCCATAAAAAAACATATATTTTACAAAACTTGTTTTTTTATTTTATTATAACTATTTTATTATTTTTATTTAACTAACTTTGACTTTGAGTAGATTTGTTTTTAGTTAAAATCAGCGTGAACCCCTCTGTTTGAGGGTAAAGGCCTCCTCCAGAGATGCCCGATAGTCTCTATCTGTGGCCTTTTCCATCCAGTTTACTAGCCGTCCCTTCGATGTCGTCAGCTCATCTGCTTCTACTGTTACTTATTAATCGAGGACCTTGTCTATTTAACGTGTAAATATGTATTGCAAGTAGAACGCGCATTTCTCGGACCGTTCCCGCGTGGTGTACTTCACGCACCACATGATCACGATCGTGAACAACAGCGAGCAGATGGCGCGCCTGGCGCAGCAGACGCAGGCCCGCCACTGGCCGCCCGCCCTGCACGACCCCGCCGCCGAGGCCAAGTTCGACAACATGCTGGCCACCTTCAACGTAAGTCTGTGTCCCCTCTATCACCAACCCACATCTACCAACCGTAGTCAAACCCTTTTTTTATGATTGAGAGTTTACTGGTGGCCCTGAGGCCTTTCCAGTTTCACAAGAGATGAGTGGACGAGCTCACAGCCCACCTGGTGTTAAGTGGTTACTGGAGCCCATGGACATCCACAAGGTAAATGCGCCACCCACCTTGAGATATAAGTTCTAAGGTCTCAGTATAGTTAATGACAACGGCTGCCCCACGGATGTTATTCCTTCACCGTGGAAGTCATTCGTGAACATTTGTTGAGTACGGTTTAAATCAGTAACGCTTCTAAAGTCACATTAGTAAAATTTAGAACTGTAGTAGACAATAGAAAATTTCTACGAAATTTTGTTTGATCGAAATATATTGTGTGCTTTTTTCGAATTTACCGACAAAACTATATATTTAATAAATTTATTTTTTCTATTTAATTTGGTGTTTCAGGTTTAACCAATTCATTGTAGATACGAGTTTTTTTTTCTGCTTTTAAGTAATATTTTGAAGTACAAACAATCACAAGTCAAATAAAATTGAACTGATTGTTACTAGCATACTTAATATGTGCATTATTTGTTTGTCCTCCGACACAGAATTTGCGAGACGAAGCTGCTAAATTTCTTCTTGAAGAAGCATTCCTCGACCTTGAAGTTCATTTTGATGACCTGTTCACTTCCAAGTGGCTGCCTTCCAGCATTCCAGTAGATACCATCTGCATTACACTCGATGACTATTTCCAAGATTACAACCATTTGAGAGAGAAAAATTTCGAATATGTGATAAACGAAGCTCAGAACTTAGTTTATAGGAAGTACATAACGGCAATGTTGTCCAAGAAAATGGCATTCAAAACTGTTGAGGAAGCACAACAAGCTGCCAATAAGATATTGAAAGAAGGAAAACAAATACGGTCCTTCTTCACGAAGATAGCGCCCGAGGGTGTTAATGTAGATTGGCCATTTGAAGTCATCTCTATGCTTGCTGAGGTAATTCTTTTGTCAAAAACTTCTCTTTTTAACTTAATTACTTATTTAAATTATGAAATAATATGAATAATTATGAAAGTTAAAAAAATATAAGCGGAGACATAAAGAGGTGGAACTCTACGAATAAATAACGGTAGAAGCAGCGGCTTGGCGTTGCCTCTGGCATTGTTGAAGGCCATGTGCGACGGTAACCACTCACCATCAGGTGTGCCTTTTTTTTCCTACTTAAGCTGATAGACTTGAGAGGTTATTTTACCGTAACCTTAACTAGTAGGTGAGCTCACGGGGCTCAAACCTGACGAAGTTGCTAACACGAACCCTAGCAAGAGCCGTGCTTCGCCGAAATCTACCACCAGATCGGAAACGCGACCCACTGAGAAGATCCGGCGGTGAAACTCAGTGGGCTGTGTCTGTGGGTTAATTTACTCGTCGAGCCCTTCGTCGCACGCGACTGGTTCGACGAGAACGATGATCGGTGCTTGAGGTACCTAGAAGCACCCAGGTGTGCCGTATGCTCGTCTGTCTACAAGGACAATAAATAAGAAAAGGCTAATAAACCAGTTGTCGGAACCCATAGACAGCCCATCATAAATATACTCGCTCACCTTGGGACATGCGGTCGAAATCTCCCGCAACTCAGACTGGATTGTAGATACTTCTTTTTAATAGTAAATAATTAAATCGCAATTTTGATTTGATTCATCACAGTTTGGGATTAGTAATATCCATGAGGGACAATAACGACATACCATCGGGTATACATGTTCATTTGGGTTGCACTACAGTAACTTAGATTCTTATCAGATACTATGTGTACTTCATGGTTTTTGAGTCATCCTGTTATATAAAATAAAGGAAAAAACCTGATAAAAGGTCTCGCAAAAATATTAATATTATAATCTCTGCATTTGGAGATCAAAATTATCGTTTGTTCTTTGGCCTAAAAGCTAAGCTTGCTTTAATATTTTGTGACGTCACCTTTCAGTAAAATATATGGTATACATATTATATTAAGTGCACTGAATTTCTCACCGGATCTTCTCAGCGGGTCGTGATTCCGATCCTGGCTAGTGTTAGCAAATTCTCTGAGGTTGAGCCCGTGAGCTTACTAACCCGTTCGGTCGTAGCTGGAATAGCCTCTTAGGCTACTAGCGAATAGGTAGGGGGGAAAAACAACAGTAATTACTATTCATTACTATACTAGTAATTACTATTCCCACTCAATCAGTTCGTCGCCATCCTTCGCCGCGCTCGCGCCTATCACTTTTTAATTAAATCCAGCGCGAATTATAATTTAGTTTTTAAAAAAAAGGTTCATAGAATCCCGTATAACATTGGTGGCAGCGGTGGGATGCGAACCCACACCTCCGAAGAGACTGGTTTTAAAATAAATAAATAAAACGGTATGGATAAGGTTACGGAAAAGCTGATGCAGCAGGAATATGGTAGGGTCTGCATATCTCGTAGTCTCCTGTGAGAAATTGGGGGCGGTGAAGGACCTCGGCCCTTCTCTTCTCCGGCGCCGGAGTCCGACATTACCCGGTCCGTTACCCCCCTCGACCGGGTATCCGTAAAAGGATTCCCCAGCGTTAAAAAAAAAGGGTCTGCATATCTAGGGTACTGAAGCCCGGATATAACAGAGTAATACAGTGTGAGTCGTGCAGGTGCTGCGGTGTCAAGACATCGAGATGTTGTCGCTGGACCTGCACAGCGTGGTGTCGAAGTGCGCGGACATGTCGGAGGAGCAGCTGGCGCGGCTGGTGTGGCTGCGCGGGGACGTGCCGCGAGCGCGCCTGCGGGACACCGTGGCGGTCGCGCTCGCCTCCCGCCCCGCGCCGCGCCCCACCGCGCACCCCGCACTCTTCGCGCACATCACCTTCAACGACAGCCTGCTCTCACACTTCGCGCGCTGACCTCATGTCTTCGCGCATTTTGTCGCACCTTATACCCTATACACCCATTTAAATTATATTATTTAATATGAATAAATACTTTAATAATAACGTTTGGTATTTATTTATTTTGGCGTTGGTTTTGGAAGGAACTGCAAAGATTTACTAAATAAAAAAATCCATTTTATTTTAAACGACCCTTATTTTTGAGTTAGTATGTTTTAATACATCACTGCTAATTTATTTTTGGATTTTTTTTGTTAATATTGATTATCTAAGTTTGGCGCATTAATACGATATTTATTAATATAATGTAATAAGTAAATATTACTTTTCGTTTACATTAGAATCTATTATCGTGCCGATGTAATGGTCTATTTACACCATGCACCACAAGTTTGAATAAAACATAAACATAAAAAACCTACGAATCGCAAACAGATGTCTCTCGTTCGGTAGGTACTTAGAAAATATAAAAATAATAATTAGGACATTCTTCGGGTTAATGACTCTGGAACATAGGATCACAATGATCGGTATTATTTAGTGTGACTACCTCCGTACCTCGCACGGACTCAAGGCCGGTGTGTAGTCCGAAGGGCGGGCGGCGAGTCTCGCAGTCAGTCGCGTCCAACGCGCCTCGCTCTCGTATCCTCGTCACGCCGAAGTACGCTCCTGGCGTCGATATGTTTCGCGTGTGTTGCTTAATCTTGTTCTTAGTGGCAGGTGAGCAACTGTGTTTACAAAAATTGCGATACCGACTTATCTGACCTTAAACGTTTCTATTCTATACAACACCCGAGTAAATTTGACTTGAATAATAACAATATATTTAATTAATTTAAAGTATTTTAATTGACATCTTCTTTGGTAACTGGCTTTCTCAAGAGAGCGTACGCTCAGAAACCGAATTCGTTTACTAAAAGTCTACATTTCTTTTTAAAGAAACAAAGTATACGTAGCCATGTTAATCAATTGAAACATTTTCAAAATTACTCGCTTCCTATTTTAGTAACGCATAGATTAAGAAGAATTTTCAATTGATTTTGAAATTCTATTTAACCGGCACCTAACAAATTCCATTTATATTTTATATATGTATGTAATACTTAAATTTAATATTAAATATTTTTTGCGATATTGCAAATTTTACATTAGCGTACTATTAAGTGACAAGCAAACTTGTCGTTATTCATTTCATAATATTTACTATTTTTTGATGAAATACATCGAATTTGTTAGTTTTAATATAAAAATCCAACTACATTTGTATTGTAGAAAAATAGGGAATAGTTGTTAAATAGTAGAAAACATTTGATAGCGTCTTGCGTGTTAGTTCCACAGAACGTTCGTTCTACTCGCGGTGGTATTTTTAACATTCCCGGACCGCCTCAAGGTTAGCCAAGATAGTCGCTTATTCATTCGGATATGACCTAATTTTCCACAATAAATTGTTTATAGAATCCAAAACCAAATGCCAAACCATAAATAATCTCCATGCTGCGACATTTTTGGCTCTTTGACGAAAATCGCTATACCATTTGGTGGATTTATGGCGGGAAACTGCTACATACTGTAGATAATATTTACTTCTTTTACTAATTGCCAATGCAGTTCAGGACTGTACTGTCTTCGCAATTTTTGTCGTCAGTAATCATACGTTCGGGCTTGAAGACTAGTGAGATGTAAAATTGTATGCGTAGGTATATAGGATAATGTAGAGAGAGGAGAGGAGAGAGAGACTCAGACTGGAAAGACTCATAGTGATGGGTAAAGTGGATGGAAGACGATCCAAAGGTCGGAGCCAAAAAAAATTGAGTGGCCAAGTGTCCGAGCATCTTTTTATTTATTTATTTTTTATTGCTTAGATGGGTGGACGAGCTCACAGCCCGCCTGGTGTTAAGTGGTTACTGGAGCCTATAGACATCTACAACGTAAATGCGCCACCCACCTTGAGATATAAGTTCTAAGGTCTCAAGTATAGTTACAACGGCTGCCCTACCCTTCAAACCGAAACGCATTACTACTTCACGGCAGAAATAGCGCCACTTCGATAAAGCGGCACGACACGATAACCCTCTCATCGTGGCCGCCGGTAACTACATTCCCGATCCTGCGGACAGAATGGAAAGCAGTCGACGTCGCCCAAAACACGTCATCTCGGATCCTCCCGATCCACTAACGGTGCTTTTAGGTACTTCAAGCACCGGTCACCGTTCTCGTCGAACCCGTCGCTTGCGACGAAGGGCTCGACGAGTAAATTAACTCTCAGACACAGCCCACTGAGTTTCTCGCCGGATCTTCTCAGTGGGTCGCGTTTCCGATCCGGTGGTAGATTCTGCGAAGCACGGCTCTTGCTAGGGTTCGTGTTAGCAACGTCATCAGGTTTGAGCTCCGTGAGCTCACCTACTAGCCACGGTTACGCTGAAATAGCCTCTCAAGGCTATCAGCTTAGGGAGGTAATAAAAAAAAAAAAGCAGAAATAGGCAGGGTGGTGGTACCTACCCGTGCGGACTCACAAGAGGTCCTACCACCAGTGTAAGAAATCTGGACACGAGACTGAGCCACGCACTTCACTGTGCCACTGACCGACATAAATGGCTACAAATTACAAAAAAAGGTCACAGGCGGGCGCCTCACGATGCTCAGCAATCAGTGATCGACTGCAAGAGGAGGGGAGGAGGATAATATAATGTAATATCCTATGTGCCGATTAATATCTTCTTAAATTTCTAAATTCTTGCCAAATTTTTCAACCCTTGGTATTATGCTTTGTATAGTAGTACAAAACAGTAGCGGGCTGGTGGCACCATTGTGTTCATATTTTCAGCAAAGCGAGGGTAGGGCAATAGGGATTCTATAATATAATAAACTGCGCGTTGTATTCGTGACAAGTGATGCGGTTTAGCCAGAGTTCACATTTTACTAACGATCACGAACGATTTCTACGATGAAGAAATAGCATCGTGTAAAAATGACACTCGCAATAGCTGTGGCTAAATTGATGGTAGGGCGTAATGTAGTCAATAATGTACCCACATGGATACGTACCACTAGAGAATTGAGATACAACAGCTTTTGCAGTCACGATCAACTGTGCTAAACTTATCTTAACACTGCTCTAGTTTGCTGCTCAAATCTCCGGGCCGCATTGGTGGAAATAAATTGCCTGCCACAATCTAGCCACCATTTTGATCGAGACGCAATTGAGACTCCGACCTCATGTTTCAATGTTTCAACGTCATAATGCCTAAGGTCTAGTTGTTGCACGAAATCCTAGTAGATTACGAGGCCATAAACCTGTAAAAAAAAATAGTCATTAGAGATCGCTCAAGAACATCGTAAAGCTTCGTGTTTTTTATGCTAGTGAAATCTTGAACATCAGAAGAAATAGCCTGTACATCATCTGTTAATTTAATAATTGGATCCGCATTAGAAACATTGAATGGTGTTGATGGAATCCCCATATATTTTAGGTCGCAGTCTTCGCAATGCTCATTGCAATCTGCACTACAACTAACAATCATAACAAACACCGGAAGATATAGATCATGAATCATCTTCCTCCTATTTAGCTTTTGACTTAATATAAAAATTACTAGCGTGGGTAGAGCTACACCAAAATGATGTCCGATAAAATTTTTTTTTTAATCCAGAACGAGAATTATTGCTGCGAATTAAATGTGAACAACAGATTGATACAGTAGGCAGTGAAGATAGGATAGGAAGATAAGATTACCACCTAATTAAGCTCTGAATTTAATAATTCCTAAATGTATTTAAGAGGCCAGAGGGGGCTTGCGTCGAGGCCCGATCCTCCTCCGCAAGGGGACGCAAGGACCCGACGAGTTTAAATATTAGTTGCAAAAAATTGGCTTGGATATAGAACGACAACATACAGACTAAAATGATTTGCACAGTAGAAGAGCGCAGCAACGGCTGGTTGTATGATGGTAATAAGGAGGTGACGGAATCCTTTGAAATAGTTCCTCAGAGCCGTACTCTCTAAGTAATTAAACACAACCATGTTTTTTTGTACTCAGATCTCATGAGAAAAATCAATACGTCTAGCCGCCTGCAGTTACTTTTGTGTTCATGATTTATATTAGAACCAAGCCATAAACAGGTTATTAGTAAAACCCGGTCAAGAGCGGGCTAAAGCATGTCCAACTTTTAGTTTATGACAGCTTTCGCTATTACACTCGTATACCTACATCTATTTTAGTTGTGCTCTAAACAAAGTAGTATACTTTTATTTATTTATTCTATTAGTAATATACCTATTAGCTGCTATTGGATTTCTCGCTCGAAAAAAGTTGACGAGCCCTTTCAATTATACGTGTATAATTTATTGAGAGTGTAGTTCTGAGATTCAGAAAGTTGTTTCAAGATTTTTCGATTAATTTACGTTTTGATCCATCTTAAGTGGTTTAAGCAACCTAAATACAATGTGGAAGTTATCGCTTACTTTGAGAAGTGACTTCGAAGTCTCAACCGTATCGTATAGCCGACCGGATAAACTTAAAACTGGAAAGTAACTGGTGGTAGGACCTCTTGTGAGTCCGCGCGGATAGGTACCACCGCCCTGTCTATTTCTGCCGTGAAGCAGTAATGCGTTTCGATTTGAAGGGTGGGGCAGCCGTTGTAACTATACTGAGATCTTAGAGCTTATATCTCAAGGTGGGTGGCGCATTTACGTCGTAGATGTCCATGGGCTCCAGTAACCACTTAACATCAGGTTCAGGTGGGCTTTGAGCTCGTCCACTCATCTAAGCAATAAAAAAAAAGCAAAAGTACCTTACCGCAGAAATAGAATGTTGAGACCGGTATGAACTAGCCCTGATAATCCTGGATAAGGTACAAAATTTTCAAAATACATAATCAATTACCTAAATCAATTACGTTCCTTTCATTTTCGGCAAGCCGCGACTTGGCTGTGCATTTGGCATTGCTGAATTCCATCAGCGCTGATTACCACTCACCATCAGATGGGCCGTATGCTCGTTTACCTGTAGAGGCTATAAACATGTATGTATCAACTTGTGTGTGTTTTCTCGAGTAGATACGCTGGTGAGTGGAGCAATATGTTCCAATGTGTAGAATGCACTTATTGTACCCGATGACAGTACAATTCATACTATGCTGCAATGAAGTACCTTGTCTAGTAGATTCCTGCGATACTTGAACGAACAAGTAAACAAATAGGCAAAAAATTCAGAAATGTAATTCCTGATCTGATATATTATGATTTTATTAATCACATAATATGTATACATATATGTAAACCGTATGTATGTAAACCGACACCAATACCTCCTACAGTATTTTAATAGTATCTATGAATAGATAAATGGTCAGTCTTGTCGGATCTTCTCAGTGGGTCGTGATTCCGATCCAGTGGTAGGTACAGCTGCCCTTGCTACGACAGATGTTAGCAGTGTCTCATGCTGAGCCCCGTGAGCTCGCCTATACACCCGGTCAAGCCAGAATACCCCCTCAAGGCTGTCGGCAGTAGATAGGCAATATATATATATACCTAAACAGGTAGCTGATGTCACAAATAATTTTAAATAACAGGTGATGCTCATATTTCTTTAGATTTTTAATCAGGGAATTCGGTGAACTGCCTCGAGAGTCATCTCAGCTAAACTACATCACTTCAGCTTAGTGACACTTGATCCCGAAATAAGCCTGGTTTATCTCATAAATTAAAAGTTCCCTGCGATAAATTTCAGATACCCGACAACTATCCATAACAAAGTTCGCCGTTCCACAATCGGTAGAAGTAGGACATAATGCTGAATTGCGATGTGAATACGATTTAAAACCAGAAGAGTTAAAAAAAGTGATATTTGTAAAATGGTGGTGGAGACCTTTTGGAGAAGATAAACAACAGATATACCAACGAACTGTTGGCCAGCCTGCAAAATCTACACAGCATACAATAGGTATGTAGGTTGGTTTTCTTTGGCATAACTTGTAATTGGAGAGTTGCCAAACAGGTAGCCCATAACGTGATTTTATGCTCAATTTTCGTTATCTAGCTTAAAATACCAGTACTTGATTTTTCATGAATAATTGAGAAAGGATCAGTGGTTCATGGTAAATTACGTATTTCACTTGATAAAGTCTGTCAGGGGGTGATCATCTTCAATTCACTGCGAAAAGCTTTTGACTTCATCCTGCATTAGGTGTACAAACTAGTTTTTTGGCAATATATATGTACACACATGTGTCCCTAAGTATTCAGTTGATGAATTTAGAATTGGAACTGTAACACTATTTCGCAAAACTCAATAAAGCTCATTTGTAGCAGAACTAACTAATATTAAGCGCTCACCCTGGATTTCAGATATGCAAATCAAGGAGAACGATACTCTGGTGCTATTGAACATACACCCTAACGCTTCCGGAATCTATGAATGTGAAGTATCAAACATAGAAGAGGTTCGTAAAGAACAGGAGTTAATTGTGTACGGTAAGATAACTAGATATCTATTGTGCTTTATTTCTTGGTATAAACGATTTGTCAAGTTTACGGCCTAACTCGTGTTAGGCAGTTAATCTATTTCAAAAACGTCCCGCTTAAATTCTTGACATATGCAATTAAAGTCTCAGGTATATTGAAATATGTAGCTTAAACTTTACATACATACACATACACAGCGCGGTGACACCGAACCGTGTGAGCTCTTCACACACACTAGCCATGCGATATCAAGGGTAGTAGGCTGACTGTCGTTACCCATATACATCACCAAGGTACCTACCGCCATAGTCATTGGGTCGAATTTCACCATTTTGCAGACAGGTTTAATGTTTTCTTGTTATAAAATACCTATGACATCTTATTATCTTGCCAAACATTATGATCAATAATTCCGTAAATAAAAACGTTACTTTATGATTTTAAACACCTTAGGTGAATAGGTTAATGAAAAGCAACATTTTGTCAACTTCTCGTGAAAATATCTATTTTAATTTCAGCTAAAGGTACTGGACCTAGGTTAGACATAACCGATGTTGCAGTCGGTCCTGGAGAAGAAAGCGTCGAAAGGAGTTTATTGGAATGCGCAGCGTCACATGTAGCTCCACTACCGGACTTAAAAATAACAATTAACGAGTATGTACCTTTTATATTTCGTAAAAAGATATTATTTTTAAAGAATTATTTTCCTTGTTCCTCGTTATGTGTATAAATATGAAAGACCAAGCCATAACTCAAAATATGTACAATTAGTTCCTTCAGTGGAAATATAAGACATAAAAGACAAAAAATATTTTTCCGTTTTCCTACAATGAAGGAATAAAATTTTAAATCAGTGAAATCAAACAAGAATTGAGACGTTCTCGCATAATAGATAAAACTATCTAGTTATATTATATATCAGGAGATGACTCATCCCACTACAGCCATAGTGGGAGACCTCTCTATCGAATAATAGGATGTCTACTCTTGTTCCTAATTCCTATCTTGAATGACTTTCATATTGTGTGCTCGTGTGGGCGGGTATCATTGACACCTTATTTTTTATTTAATACTATTCAAATTTATTAGAACTAAATTTTTATTTCAGAAAAGAGATAAACGTAACCAAAAATATTAAAAAGAGTGACGACGATGGATTGTATGACATTTTTGCTAATACAACAATAGAAAAGAATTTAGTTGTTGGTGCATTATTAGCATGCCAGCTTTCTTATACAGATCTCAATATTACGGGCGATGATTTTGTAGACTTCATACTTTATGATAAAACAGGTATGTTGATCAGGGGTGCTCTGAAAGAATGTACCAACTTCAATGTTGGGTTGAACTTTCACAACTAATGTAAGCTCTAGGTAAGATAAGCTTATTTAAGACAATTTCGTTAGTAAAGATACGTGGTAATTTTTTTTAATAATCGAACGAATGAGACCGTAAAATTACGTGACTGCTATGAGAATGGCGTTAACCGTTACAAATTGTTATTTAAACTTTCGCGGCTAACTTATACGCACTACGAGTCTCGTATTATTTAAGGGGTTCCTACTACGATTTTTACATTAGCGTGTTATATTACGTTATATAACTGTTATATTTTATTATAAACCCACAGTACAAAAAAAGTAATTTGGCTGTCGCACGTGCAATTGAATGTGAAAGATAACTAATTTTATAATTACCTAATCTTCATGAATTGAAATAATTTGTCGAGCACCGTAGTCTGAAAAAGTATGTTTGTTTGTGTAACGCTTTATCGTATTACACAAACAAAAAATATGCATATTATGTATTAAATAATAATCAGATCTGAGTTACATTTAAGAAACTTTAAAGTTGCATTAAACGGCTTGTGAATTTTAACTGATTAGCTTTACAATTCTATCTGCGTTTAATAAGTACCTAAGCGACATTTTTGTTGATTGTTGTTGTATGTGTGTGTTCGTCAACGCTTTTGTGTGTGCCTGTGTATGTATGTGGACTAAGGTAGCATTGGTTGTCGGTTTTGGTCGGCGGCAGGTGAGCTGACATCCACGGAGATGCCCGAGGACAGTACCGACCTGAGCGCCAGTAAGCCAGTATCATTGCAAAATGCCTGTAAGTTTAATGACAAACACCAACTGACACAAAATAAACATATGGAAAAATGAATAAATGTAAAATTTAATACATTGCATAACGATAATAAAGTATATATTTACTTTAAATATTATATGCATACTATATATTACCTAATAAATACTATACATGTCATAAAACATATTATAATATTATTTTAAAATGTTTAAATTTTTTACAAAAAATTTTTTTTATCTGTAACCATTGTGCCTCGTTGTTCCTTGTTACTAATGAGATGTAGTATGAAAAAGAGTTATAGTTTGAGCTACTGCTCAAGCAAGCCATAGCTGGATTAGTCCACTAGGCTACCAGCGAATAGGTAGGGAAAAAAGTACATAAGCCAGGGTCACGAACCCAAGTTTTCTAATAAGTAAGCAATCAGACAAACTTATCATGTAGAACTTTCATTCTTTTATTATTGGGTATTAATGGAATTTTATTTATTACTCTTCAGTGCAGTCTAGGAATTATTCCTCCATTCAAATTGCTAAGTGTGCGTAGGTACCGGTTTAGTTTGGGCCTTGTTTTGTCGGTTAGTCAGTCAGTCACTCAATACGTGTAAGTTGTCGAAATTCCTGAAATGGAGATTCGAGATCGAGTATCTACAAATACATATAGTTTTCATGTCGTTTGATTTATTCTTTACCTTCCAACTATTACTTACATGTGTACCTATATGAATCAGTTTTAGTTTTTAAGCGTTATGTACTTAGCAGTCCTAATTAATTCTAGAAATTAATTTAACGTAGTAAATTCCTTAAGGTATTTTATGCCTTATAAGAAAACCTTAGTGTGAAAGATGTTTCTGTAAATACGTGAATTACAAAACTGTGGGCCTTGTTGCTCTGTGTTCCAGCCTGCTTGAAATTTTGCTTGTAGCCCACCTCAGCTCTTAAACATTTTTTGTATGTAATCTGCAACAGCATTACCTAAACAATTAAATACAGCATTATAGCAGTGCATTAAACACATTCTTTATTACACAATAAAACGGACATATAGTCGCTTACTTTAAATTTTCAACCATAAAAATTACGATAATACCTACATATTATTTATATGAGTAATCAAAAGTTATTAATGTACAGAAACAGTTGCTTAAGCTCTTACCCTTTTGAACATATAGTCGCTTACTTTAAATTTTCAACCATAAAATACCCATTGCGATAATACATATTATTTACTTATATGGTAATCAAAAGTTATTAATGTACAGAAACAATTGTTTAAGCTCTTACCCTCTTGAACAAAGTAAGAAACTCAATTTTCAAATCGCATTTGCATTGCTCCAATACAATCTACAATTACATCGTCTTCCATTCATTCACAGCATGGATTCGTGTATATTTTATATGCATTATAAGTAGTAGTATAATATTAAGTAGTAACTTATTTCATTGAATTTTTTGAAAAAACCTACATTAGATTTTGTATTTAACACTTTAATTTTAATATTGATTAACGAAATAATTTAATTACCTTGTTTTTGTGTTGTGTTGTTTTGTGCCATTTTCAGCCATTTTGAGCTAGTATTATTATGTTAATAATCCTTAATATGTGGATAACTTATTATAAAGATAATGAATAATAAGGGTTTATACCGGCCGTACTTGTAAGTACTAACATTATTGGTTTATATTACCTAATTTTATTTTTTTCATTTTCAGCTGATGACGCTAGCCAACTCTGCACATCGGGGATTTTCCTATTTTGTGTACTTATTTTAAGTAATTTATTATCTACCAAATAATTAATGTAAATATACAAATTAATGATACTTTTTTTAAATTTTTAATAAATTTATTGTACATCAAAGGTTTTAAATTTAATAGTTATTCCTTTTATATTTCAACGACGTCCGACAAATAGCTTCGTACAACTTTACAGCTTGAGTTTTCTTCTGTTACGGTTGAGGAAACACACTTAGGAGACAAGAAAAAGTAGATCAACGCCATAAAACTTACCAGGCGATCAAATAGCATCAAGCTAAGTATGTGGTCTACAATGAAATAATCATGAGAAAGCCTTTAAACTTAAAACAAAAGTGTCACGTCAAGTGTACCGTCATAGCCGGGGACTATTATCGGAATTTATATTTACCTAATAGGTTTTTTTATGGCTTCGATGGGTGGACGAGCTCACGGCTTGCCGGTGTTAAGTGGTTATCGGAGGCCATAAACATTTCCAACGTAAATGCTGCCACCCGCCTTGAGACATGAGTTCTAAGTCTCAGTCTCACAGTACAACGGTTGCTCCGCCCTTCAAACTGAAACACATTATTGCTTCACGGCAGAAAATAGACAGTGTGGTGGTACTTACCCGTGCGGCCCCACAAGACGTCCTACCACCAGTAATTACGCAAATTATAATTTTGGGGGTTTCATTTTTATTACACGATGTTATTCCTTCACCGTGGAAGTCTATCGTGAACATTTATTAATTCACGTATTTCATTGGAAAAATTGGTATCTGCCGGCGGGATTCGAACACCGATGCACCGTTGCATGCACCGAGCGCCTTATCCCTTAGGCCACGAAGACTTCGTTTTGATGATGGTCCTCAGACGTGCAGAACTTGTAATTGCTACGAGCGCTAGCTTTACTGCGTGAAGTTCCATGCGTTAGTGTTATGAAAAATTTACAAAGCAGACATATCGGAAATGTAATCGCAAGCAAGATTGTAACATATAACGTAATAAAATCATACAGATTCCCCGAAAATGAGTTTAATGTAAGAAACAAACAGCATCTGTTTATTAAGGCGACTGATTAAAATTCCTTTTTTAAATTAGAATATCACTTAGGTATGGATAAACATAAGCCCGCTGAGCTTATAGGTAGAGAGGTCAAGTCCGACCTTCGTCTGTACTGCTCTAGTAAGTTTTTAGTAATTATTAGTTAAAAATAGTAACTTTTGCAACAGACGGTAAGACAGAGAAAACATTGAATAAGTTTTTTTTTGATACCGACTCATGGGCGAACGAGCTCATTATGAATCTGGTATTAATTAGTAGTTACCAGAGTCCATACACATGACATGCATTCCGCACCCAATGTTGAGAGATTGTATCAAATGTATGGTATAGTAATGGCTGTCCTGTCCCTGGAATCTAGAAGTGACCATTTTATTTATTTATTTTTTATTGCTTAGATGGGTGGACGAGCTCACAGCCCACCCGGTGTTAAGTGGTTACTGGAGCCCATAGTCATCCAGAACGCAAATGCGCCACCCACCTTGAGATATAAGTTCTAAGGTCTCAGGTTTAGTTACAATGGCTGCCCTTCAAACCGAAACGCATTACTACTTCACGGCAGAAAAAGGCAGGGTGGTGGTACCCACCCGCGTGGACTCACAAGAGGTCCTACCACTATTTCTGGGCACGTAGAAAGTTGATGCCTTTGCGGGCTCATTACGTTCTACCACCAGTGAATTACTGTCATTGTGCAAATATCTTTTTTGAATTCTGACATTTTTTCCGCGGTTACTGTTTGTATTAAATAAATAATAATATATATAATAACGGTACTCTTAAAATAGGTTTTATAAAAAAACGCTTGCACTATTTTTTCTATAAATATATTTGGTAAAACTACTTTGGTATATTTTTTACTTAATTTACTATTTACACATTTAACAATACAAAATAGCGATGGGCGTTTCCGAGTTATAAACTATGTTTTTGATTAATGAATTGACTGTCTGACGTTGAATCAACGTCGGTATACCTTAAACTCTTAACTGTCTCATACACGGGGGATAAAATTATCGAAATGCTTTTACAGGCAAAATAATCGACTTACGTATCTTGGAAACGCACATCGCTAATACGGAGCGTAAAGGAATAATTAACCATACCATTTATGGAAAACGAATCATGATTATAATAACATAAACATCAGAATATCTTGGTCATACTAGTAAGTTGATGTTTCATTTCTTGTAAAGGTAATTGTAAAGTATAACAAGCATTTACAATTATAATTACATACTACCTGCTTTCTAGGCCTGTCCTCTTCCTATTCACCGTATTAATTCAATTAATAATTTAGGAACTATGTCTATAACTTAATATCAATCATTCATAGCTATTTAGGGCAGATTTTTTCATAAATTAAACAGACTTGCCATTCCTCAGTTATGTAGCGTGCGATTCTCTTCAACGGATGCGTATTTTTCAAATATCTAGCTATTTACATCGAACAGTGATATTGATTCACTAACACACCATAAAACTTATATATTATTATAGTTAATTTGTAATAAAAACTAAAAACATTGCATTTGGCACCACAAGACTATTTAAACCAAAACATTTGATTTGATTTATTTTATATGTAACACCCGATTATTTCTTCTTCTACATGAAAGCTGCCTAAAAAATATATACGTTTATGCTACTTATTTTTATCCATACTTGGACTTCCACATATTAGGTTTATAGAGTTGTGCCGCGTTTTACGATTTCCATCAATATCAATTACATCAGTGCATGCCGCTACTGAAGTTAATGCAACAGTCTTATCAAAATCTATGGTAGTATATCCTATTGCTGCAGGCGGTACATTTGTTGGTATATTTTTCTCAACGCTGCACTGTGACATGAGACGTCCGTGTGGTTGAGACGAACCGGAAAAAATACTTTCATTTTTCGAACTAGTATTTGAATTATTTTCAGAAGTTATTAAGTTATCTTTGGTTGTTCTTGCATTATTTTTGTTGGATTCAATATCTAAAATAGCATAATTAACTTCTAATTCTTCCACGGGAGAAATGGAGGTTATTGTATCGGATTCAGAAAAATTTTGCTTACGATCTGTCGAAAAAGTTAATTTAATATTTTTAACAATGTCTCCCAGGTCTCCTAAAGCTAAGTTAGCATATGTGTTAAGTTCCGGTTTACCACTCATGGCCAAATTACAATATTCTACTTGTTTATGAATAGCGTTAATAAGTTCATTCTTATTTCCCTCAATGTTTGCCTCATTAGGTGCAATGTTCATATAAAGTCGACCTGCCTCTTGTCGCTCTAGGCTAAGCTGGGCATAATGTTCACTGCTAACACTTAATGTTGGAGATAAATGTTTCTCCTTTTGGTTGTTATTCATATACCTATTTTCAAGAAAAAGAGTTTCATCTTCTATTTCTTTCATTGTATTTAAAGCTGAAGTCTGTTTTAGAGTACTTCTAAGTACTGCTAAATCTCTGTTCAAATCATTACAATATACATGTCGAGAATCAACAGCTGTTTCATTTTGGTTGTTGTTGTGTTCTCTTTTGAATTCACTGAATTGATAAACATTTGTTACATGACTACTGCTCGATTGGGGTCGGGGATATAAAGGCGTGACCTCTAATATGTCAGCACTTGAAGGAGATCTAGGTGTAGTATTTAGATTTACGTGTCTTAGGACATCAGAATTAGAAGTAATGTTTGAAAGATTATGGATTATTGCAGACTGTGCTTCTGGTTGTCCATTGTCTATGGAGGAGCGATGAATAACTGTGGCTTGTAGAGTTTGTCGCCCTTGAGGTGGTGGCGTTAGTCTTGATCCTGGATATGCAACCGAATCATGGACAATATTACGTAGTTGAATTTGTTGCTGTAATTTTCGAAACAATAAAGATGCTCTTCTACATTTAAAAGCATATATTCCTTCACCAGTTTCACATCTTCTGCCTGTAACAAAGGTGCATTTCTATGTATTTGGCATCTGTAAGCGGTAGATTAAATGTTCTGGTAAGATTTTTTATTGGTGGTAAAGTTTATTGTAAGCTCATGTGGATGGTAGGAGTCATTGAGTCCAGTTTGGAAGGTCATACAGTAATTATGGATTGCAATAGACTTTGACTTTATATCTGATGATCGGTGGCAGTATTAACACAATGTGGGCTGTGAGGTTATTCAAGTATTGTGTATAATTTATATTTATAGTAATAGCTCTTTATTCATGTGGTATATGCTCTCTGAATATGCTGCGAGTGCAGAAACCGTGCATATGGAAAAGAGACTTTACATAGGATATTCTATAGGATAATTAGATTTGTGAATAAAGAAATCTTTATTTGCAACCTTAGGAATTGAATCACATTTTTTTAATCCGCTAATAGTGAAAACGCAAGTGAAAGAGGCACAAATAAGGAGCTTTTATTGAACATATTCATAGCTATTATTGTATTTCCAAGAAAACTTTATGATTAAAATGGAAATAGATAATCTTGTCATAATAATGAATTCAACATTTCATACAAACATTGGTAGTGTTGTTCAAGGTTCACAATTTCTAATATGTTTTTTAATAATTTTAGTGATATATCATGTTAGTAATAACACTACCAGCTGTCATTCTTTTTAGGAGGGTTTTAATAGACCTGAGTCAAAATAAATTAAAAGCTTATGGGATTTTATTTCCCTCACACATTTGATGCACTGTTAACTATAATTTCATATACTGTAAGCACCATATTACTGGTGGTAGGGCTCCTTGTGAGGCTGCATGTGTAGGTACCACCGCCCTGCCTATTTCTGCAGTAAAGCTGTAATATGTTAGTTTGAAAGGTGGGCAGCCATTGTGCTATAAAACTGAGACTTAAAACTCATCTCTGAAGTTGGATCCCATCTAAATAATAAATATAAAATGAAGCACCAATAAAAAACAGGGCTTGCTAATCCTAGACAAGAGGTAACAAGAAATGCAGAACATTGAAGCTTACTGTCTGTGAGTCTGTTTTTAATTGACTGCTTTGTCACTCATTTAGAGAACTTTGCCACTGTGTTGATTGGCTTAGAAACACAGATTGAGAAACAAAGTGCAAATATTATGAGCAAAAGAATATTACAAACTTGTCAATAAATGCAACCATTTCTTACATGTTTGTAATTCCTTATATGTACCATTGATTATACATATTTTGTATGTCACTTGTGTTTTATTCAGTTGCCTTATTTGGTTGCATTTCTATTTTCCCCCAATTCATGTTCAAAATGTACAGACATGGAACATGACAAATAATTTTTTTCTATTTTATGAAAAACATTAAAATACCTGATTCGAAACTAAATAAATCTCCTTCAAATCCATATCTTCTAAGAGAATGTAGTGGCCATACTGTAGAATCTCTTCCAACTCTGTACAATATGATGTCAGATTCTGTTATCTCCAGCTGACCGGAACATAAGTCGTCACCGTTTTCATCAATGTTTACAACGCGAAAAACATTAGGGTGTAATTCTGAAGGTTCTTTTTTGCTATGCAAGCACCCCATCACAAATATACAGAATTGCACAATGGGCATGTAAACTAAAATTTTATTTTGTGAAAGCCCTCTTGTGAGAAATCACAACAGTCGACTTCGCTCCATTGTTATAGATATTTTAATTAAGTAAACTATTAAGATTTTTCGGCGATAAGTACCTATTTATAGTTCGTATTCTCCGTTTACTACATAATTTATTAGCATTGCATGCTTAGTACAAGCTTATTCACTCAATTAAGTTTATATTTAGTAATTTAGTTCTTTAAATTATGTATTTCTTCCATCTTTACTATGTACACAGTCGTACAAATCAATTTTAGAAGTTCATTAATTATCTTCAATAAATTTTAATTTTTTTGACTTGACATGTCTTGTCAGTATCTAGTCTGTAGTAGTTTTATTTTCCAACTGGAAAGACAAAGGTGTCATACCATACGGCTTAATCTTTTATGTAATATATGTCGGAGACGGCCATTAAATTATAAATCATACAAGTCTCTATTAGTTATAGACAAATTGCTTAAATTTTATATATAAATTTACTAAATCCTTTATTAAAAATAAAATACAGGATAGGTAATATGCTACTGTCATCTATAGGAGCAATAATAAACTAATCAGAGTGAAATGTCATGAAATGAGATGAGATGAGATGATATGGGATGAAATATAATCTTAGTAAAATGGTGGTCATTTACTGAGACTTTTTCAGTAGACTTTTTGGAGGATCCCGAGAAGTTACGTCCAGCAGCTTTGTTTTATTTTCCCATATTTGTACACTTTCACAGATACTAAGCAGTTAATAAATAACCATTATTACGTATTTAAGCTTGAAGAAACACTAAATAGACAAAATAAAACAAATCACACAACTTCACTCCTCGCGTTCCCGTCTAAAAGTCCATGTCTTGACAGTTCATTCTTTAGTTCATCCATTAATAGGCAAAAGAAATTTAACTGAATATAGAAAACGCAGCCGTCTAATAAAGTCTACGCTTCGACCCAGCCTACATCACATGGCTGTAGATCCGGAGCAATTCCAGCTAGATCTCCACAACCGATTCGCTGCCTTGGAAACCACTACAGACGTAGACGAGGCCTTAGATGGCGTGGTGAGGACACTGAGATAAGAGGGACAGAGATTGTGTCCAAAGGGTCGTACAGGCAGAAAATCAAAATTATCATCCGAGACTCTCCGGTTAATGGAAGAAAGGCGGGAAAACACACAGGCCACACAATCAGAGAAGGTGGCTCTTAGTAAGAAAATCAGGACGCTGATACGACGCGATCTCCGACGGTACAATACTCAGCGGATCAATGACGCAATTGAGCAAAACCGAGGAGCCAAGGTGTTCGTGCAGCGTCTTGGTAGAAGCCACCTTACAAAACTGACCACAAGGGATGGCCAAATTCTNGAGAAGGTGGCTCTTAGTAAGAAAATCAGGACGCTGATACGACGCGATCTCCGACGGTACAATACTCAGCGGATCAATGACGCAATTGAGCAAAACCGAGGAGCCAAGGTGTTCGTGCAGCGTCTTGGTAGAAGCCACCTTACAAAACTGACCACAAGGGATGGCCAAATTCTCGCCTCCAAACCGGAGATTCTCAAGGTAATTGAGGACTTCTACGGACGTCTCTATACTTTCAAAACTACCAAGTCTGCCTCTGACCCAGCAGATGTCCGAGCCACACTATCCCGCCACTACACCGACGAGCTGCCACAAATTAGTGTGGACGAGATCGGGATGGCTCTTGAAAATCTTAAAAACGGAAAAGCCCCGGGCGAGGATGGTGTTACTTCTGAGCTCTTGAAAGCAGGAGGTCTTCCTGTTATTAGGGAGCTCCACAAGCTTTTTAACACTGTTCTCAGGAGCAGGAGCATAGTTGTCCTTTTCTTTAAAAAAGGAGATAAAACACTTTTAAAGAATTATCGCCCATCTCGCTCCTGAGCCACGTCTACAAATTGTTTTCGAGAGTCATAACGAATCGTCTTGCTCAGAGACTTGACGACTTTCAGCCTCCGGAGCAGGCAAGATTCCGAAGAGGATTTGGTACCGTGGACCACATTAACACAGTTCGGCAGATTATACAGAAGACTGAAGAGTATAATCTGCCACTATGTCTGGCGTTTGTGGACTACGAGAAAGCCTTTGACTCGATCGAGACCTGGGCTGTTCTGGAATCTTTGCAGCGGTGTCAAGCTGACTAGCGATAGATCGATGCACTAAGATGCCTGTACGATGCCGCTACAATGACCGTCCAAGTACAGAAAGACCAGACGAGACCAATCCAGTTGCGCAGAGGTGTAAGACAGGGGGATATCATATCCCCGAAACTGTTTACAAACGCACTGGAGGACGTCTTCAAGACTCTGGACTGGAACGGACGCGGCATTAACATAAACGGCGAGTACATCTCACATCTTCGCTTTGCCGATGATATCGTCATTATGGCGGGATCGCTGCAGGACCTACAAGAAATGGTGCACAGCCTTCATACTGCATCCCAACGGGTTGGCCTGGGAATGAACTTGAATAAAACCAAGGTAATGTTTAAAGGAAACGTCATTCCGAGACCAATCGATGTTGATGGTACACCTCTCGAAGTTGTTCAAGAGTATGTCTACCTGGGACAGACCCTACAACTAGGTAGAAACAACTTTGAGAAGGAAGTGACCAGAAGGATTCAGTTGGGCTGGGCAGCGTTCGGGAAGCTTCGTCAGGTCTTTTCGTCGCCCATACCACAATGTCTGGAGACAAAGGTCTATAATCAGTGCGTCCTACCCGTGCTTATCTACGGAGCCGAAACGTGGACACTGACTGTGCGACTAGTCCACCAACTAAAAGTTACTCAGCGAGCTATGGAGCGAGCTATGCTTGGTTTGTCATTGCGAGACCGAATACGCAATGAGGGCATTCGGGCAAAAACCAAAGTAATCGATATAGCTCGCAGAGTTAGTAAGCTGAAGTGGCAGTGGGCTGGTCACATATGTCGCAGAACCGATAACCGTTGGGGTAGACGTGTTCTGGAGTGGAGACCGCGAACCGGCAAACGTAGTGTAGGACGCCCTCCTGCTAGATGGACTCTCCCGACTAGGCGCGTTAACACCTCCGCCTCCGCCATTCGCCCAATCACGATGTTCGACCAGCCCATACCGTGGGCCCCGAAGATCAAATATTTAGGCGTCACCCTCGACGGTAGGATGATATTCCGCCCTCACATCAAGACGGTACGCGACCGTGCCGCCTTCATTCTAAGACGTCTCTACCCGATGATATGTAGGCGAAGTAAAATGTCCCTTAGAAATAAGGTGACACTCTACAAAACTTGCATACGCCCCGTCATGACCTATGCAAGTGTAGTGTTCGCTCACGCGGCCCGCACTCACTTAAAATCCTTCCAAATTATTCAATCCCGTTTTTGCAGGATAGCCGTCGGAGCCCCGTGGTTCGTCAGGAACGTCGANGGTGCACAGCCTTAATACTGCATCCCAACGGGTTGGCCTCGGAATGAACTTGGATAAAACCAAGGTAATGTTTAACGGAAACGTCATTCCGAGACCAATCGATGTTGATGGTACACCTCTCGAAGTTGTTCAAGAGTATGTCTACCTGGGACAGACCCTACAACTAGGTAGAAACAACTTTGAGAAGGAAGTGACCAGAAAAATTCAGTTGGGCTGAGCAGCGTTCGGGAAGCTTCGTCAGGTCTTTTCGTCGCCCATACCACAATGTCTGGAGACAAAGGTCTATAATCAGTGCGTCCTACCCGTGCTTACCTACGGAGCCGAAACGTGGACACTGACTGTGCGACTAGTCCACCAACTAAAAGTTACTCAGCGAGCTATGGAGCGAGCTATGCTTGGTTTGTCATTGCGAGACCGAATACGCAATGAGGGCATTCGGGCAAAAACCAAAGTAATCGATATAGCTCGCAGAGTTAGTAAGTGTGGCACGACACGAGAACCCTCTCATCGTGGCCGCCGGTAACTACATTCCCGATCCTGCGGACAGAATGGAAAGCAGTCGACGTCGCCCAAAACACGTCATCTCGGATCCTCCCGATCCACTAACGGTGCTTTTAGGTACTTCAAGCACCGATCACCGTTCTCGTCCAACCCGTCGCTTGCGACGAAGGACTCGACGAGTAAATTAACTCTCAGACACAGCCCACTGAGTTTCTCGCTGGATCTTCTCAGTGGGTCGCGTTTCCGATCCGGTGGTAGATTCTGCGAAGCACGGCTCTTGCTAGGGTTCGTGTTAGCAACGTCATCAGGTTTGAGCTTCGTGAGCTCACCTATAAACGTTAGGGTTACGCTGAAATAGCCCCTAAGGCTATCAGCTTAGGTAGGAAAAAAAAAAACAAAGCTAGATGGACCGACGACCTGCGCAAGGCAGCTGGCAGTAACTGGATGCGTAGAACCGAAGATCGGGTTCAGTGGCGAGCTTTGGGGGAGGCCTTTGTCCAGCAGTGGACTGCCGCAGGCTGATGATGATAGAAAATCCCGTAGACAGGTATCAATATTACTAAGGAGATCCGTACTTAATACAATGTCATGAATGACTTCCATGATGAGGAATAATATCGTGTATTATTAATCTAATCCGCAAAGCATTTAACTACTTTTGAAGATGCCTTTAATAGGCTTGAATTTAAACTATGAATTTTTATTTCAAACACAGAATCGTTATTATTGTTACATTGACTTAACAAGGCTAATAATACGCCTGTATGCGCTATGTTCCCTTTGACTGTCTAAGTAGACAAAAGTCTTCAAAAAAGTGTGTTTTCGATTGATACTGCAATTTGATGGTTTGGTGACAAAAAATTGTAAAGAATTAAAATCTGTGTTAATTTTTGCTGCGTAGTAATAATTTACAGTCTTAAAAACATTTTTTTCATCTAGGGTGCAGCGGTAGTTACGAGAAAGATCGATGAATAAAATCAATTAATTTCGAGTGGTAAGTTTTTTTCATTACCTTCAACAATGTCTTCATCACTTTAGTTAAATTTGTTGTGAAATGAGTGAAAATAATTTTTAATCTTTAAATAAATCCATTAACGTGTCTATTGAGTTGATCACCTTTCTTCTTTAAATTAATAATTAAATAGTGAAATAAATTGTGTTTGTATGACAAAAGAGAAAGGAATAGTGTCAGCTTAGTCCACATTGAAATAATGTAACCTACATAAGATTTTAAAATACTAGACCGTTCTTGTATACCTTCGTTTCAAATAAGTTCAATAATAAATTGTTAAAAGAAAAGAAATGTACAAATTAGTATTTAAACAAGGCTTTAGCTAGTAATGACAATGAGACCAAAAACATAAAAATATAAACAATATGCAGTTGAAAAGTGTTTTTCTTACTAATGGGTACATTGGTATGTTGTGTACATTATTGTGTACATTGTGCACATTCCTTAAGTTACTGTGTTTTTAGGAACAAACTGTATTATTGATTATTGTTGTATTTAATTGTGTTTGCATTATGTAATTAATGTTGTACCCATTATGTTTGCATACATGTTGACATAATTATTACAAATTTTATATTCCTTGATATAAAAAATACTGCATGTCATTATAATCATAATCCTGTAAGTACTGTGAACTAAATAGGATACAAAAAAGAGTGGCAAATTTTGTGATACCATATAAGTCTGTCTATCTCAAGCAACAAGAAAACTACAACATTTTACCCATATGAAATGCATTGCTTTGTATTAGTAATCACACATGAATTTTATTATTGATGATAATGTCATGTCATGATAAAGTATGTTTGCTGTTTTTTTTTATTTTCAATATATGGACAAGTTCCACTTATTAAAGGTAATCTGATATTTTGTCTGGCTATTCATGAGACTATACTTATATGAGACTCCAGAAAGCTTTTACTACTATATTCTGTTGTGCAATATCTAATCATAGTAACTTACTGCTTTCCAAATTTATTGTGTCATTTCCCATAATTCCCTGCTAATGTTACTGATGGTAGAATATTTTAACTAGACAAACTAAAATAAAATTATCTATTTCTGGTGATCCATACCACTAAACTGTAAAGGTATGTGTACTAGTGTATAATCTATTGACTTATAGGTACTACATAAAGCACATAAATAATCTAATTTCTTTTTTAACTATTGTGCAGTTTTTTAGGTTTCTGAAATTTTTTGTATTCGAATAAAGCTTTGTAAAGAAAGACTAATTGCTCTGAAAAAAAAATTGAAGCGAAAAAAGTGAAAATATACGTAATTTAAAAATAAAATAAGTTTTTTTATTCTAATTGAATTGTAGATGGCAGAAGTGGATCCAGAGACATTACTGGAGTGGCTGCTGACTGGGCAGGGTGATGAACGTGATATGCAACTCATTGCTCTTGAACAGCTGTGTATGCTTCTACTAATGTCTGATAATGTTGACAGGTGTTTTGAAAGGTAATGTTAAATGTTAAACTAGATTTGTTAAAAGTTGTTGTTTGTGTTTTTCTCTGCAATTTCTATAAGGTGTTTAATAATTCCAGCTGTCCACCAAGAACATTTCTTCCAGCTTTGTGCAAGATTTTTTTGGATGAATGTGCACCAGATAATGTTTTAGAAGTTACTGCAAGAGCTATCACGTACTATCTGGATGTGTCTGGTAAATCAATGTGTAGTAAAATTTGGTATACAACAAAAAAAAGAAAACGATTTGTTTCAATTTGATTTTATCTTTGTAGCTGAGTGTACAAGGCGCATTGTAGCAATTGAGGGAGCTGTGAAGGCTATATGCAACAGACTGTTGACAGTTGACCCCAATAATCGGACAAGCAAAGATCTAGCCGAGCAATGTATAAAGGTAAAACAATTATATTGCTAAATAGAAAACAAACTATTTAAAAAATATAACACTAATAACTCATATTAATTTAAATTTTATTGATAGGTCTTGGAACTTGTTTGCACTCGAGAAGCCGGTGCTGTATGGGAAGGTGGTGGTTTACCTGCTGTTTTGCATTTTATTACAAACCATGGTACCTCAGTGCATAAGGATACACTACATTCAGCCATGGCTGTGGTTTCCAGGTATAAAAAAATGTTTTTTAACATTAAACTGTAACATTAAAACATATCGACGCTTGAAAGGCAAACGTGACTAAGCGACAATGCGTGAACTTTACAGTAGACTAATTTAAAGTTGAAATATCTGAAAACAAAATTTATTTTAACGAATCTAGCTGTAGTAGAATCTAGCTAGTAGCTGTAGGATTGAAATGATTTTAATAGACCTAGAAATATATATTTTTTGCACATCGAATATGGTTATTGCCTATCATTTATGTGCAAAGCAGTTATTGTCGCTTAGGCATGTTTGCCTTTCAAGCGTCGATATACATATTCATTGTTGTTACCCCAGACCCCAGCCTTAGAGATTGTTGTTAGTTACGTTGTAACGTGTTATAGGGTGTGCGGTAAGATGGAGCCCGGTGACGCTCGCGTAGGTGACGCGGTGTCGTCGTTATCAATGCTCCTGCGTCACAGCGACGCGCGGGTGGCGGACGCAGCGCTGCGCTGCTTCGCCTCGCTCGCCGACAGGTTTGCACGCGCCCATGCCGACCCGGCGCCGTTGGCTGAACACGGTAAGAGTTACACACCATTCTAATATTCTGAAAACTAACTGTAACACCGATTGTGAAAAGAAATGTGAATGTAAATTATATACATGTGTATACATATGTTATTGTATGTACTGGTGGATCATAATAAAATTAAAGACTAGCGAGTCCGTAATCATTGCATTCAGAAATTTTTACACTTATTGGAACATTGCGAATTTATTATGTTGGAAAATGGTTAAGTTAGTAAATTAATAAAACTTCTTCTCTGTTAATTCTGTCTATTATAAAAGCATTCATTTATTAGGACGGCTCTTGCCACATTTTGGACAATAATCAGTCTTATTATATTATACAAATTTTAAACTGCCATTACTTTTATGAGTTCTTCTTATAAAAATCCACATGCCGTCTCTTATACGGTAATGAAATTATCACTGGAGCTCCAACAACAGTAAACAAAAGAGTTTTGTCTGAATTGCAAGATTCGGTCGCAACGAATAGAAGATAAACTTATAACAAAATAAATAATTCATTATAAAATACATATATTGTCTTAATGATGAAATTAATTAAAAACAATATTCGAAATGATTAGGCCTAATTGAAGAATTAGTACGACGTTTGGGAAGCACAGAGAGTGGAGATGATAAATGTCTCACCTCAGCTGTATCCACTACAGTCAGTCTCCTTTCGACGCTATGTCGCGGATCGGCGCAGATCACCCATGTGAGTTGATTGTTTCGATTTCCTTCATATTTCACTAGCTTCGTTTTTCGTTCTGATACTGTACAAGTAAAAACTCAGGAAATACTTCTGGGCCTGAGTTGGAGCCTGTTTATTTACCTGCCTTTTTATTTTCCATCAAAATAATCATGTAGAGAATTAGACTCCCAGTTCAGAGTCTAAGCAAAATTGTCTATTATTGAATAGTAAAGTACAAAATTGGAGGTTTGTGAAATTATTTACAAATAATTTGGATACTCTTAGGTGTTCTAGAAATATTATTTCTATTACAGGATTTGGTTCGGTTGGAATTATGTTCAGCCATTGAAAAGGCAGTTCAAGCAGATGAGCGTTGGTGCTTAGAATGTATGCGATTGGTCGACTTATTACTAGTACTGCTCTGTGAAGGAAGGCACGCCATTGCGACGTGAGTATTACCGTAGTTTTATTCTGCCCTTAAATAGAGCACCGCTTGATGAAAAGTAATATTAACATGAAATACACAGTAATTAGAACAGCGTAATTAGGATAATTTACAAAATTTGTGAGATTTACTTTTAAATAATTTTATTATTATTCATTCATCGTGGAATACGTAAATATTTGCTAAAACATTAAGGCTAAGTTCATATGATCGCGCGGTGGTAACGTTCACATGACAGAATGTACGCGCGAGAGTGGCATCAACATTGATTGAGAATGGACGTGGAGGAAGCAACTTGCTTATTAATTTTATACAGAAAACTGAGACGTCGGAGAAGAAGACAAAGGCGATACTGGGTGCATCCTATTTTAATCGAAAGACTTTCTTCAAGCCTTTTTGTAACTTTATATCCCGACCTGAGACTACACGAATAAAATTCTTTTACTACCTAGCTTAAGATGTCAGTTGCATCTTTTCATTTTTATATGATTGCGTTGAAAACTATTTAAAATCGATAGACACGATATCGTCTTCGCTAGGTACTCATTTTTCTTTGATCTATGCATCTGTCCGTCTCAAACCGCGCGGATCAGCTGAACAGGTAGATACAGTTTTGCAGAACTGCGCGTTACAAGAACCTGCGCGCGGGTCGCAGCGCACCGCGTTTACAACTCTTTGACGTTTAGTCTTGTCTGATAAACTTTGTTATGGGTGCCCCCGCCACTTGGTCGGGGGTACAGTGGTTACACGGTCATTGATATATGCAAGTAACCTAGGGGTGCGAACCGTAATGTCGGTTCATCATCGGGCGCGCGGTCCACGGAGGCGAGTCGCGGCGGAGAGCGCTCGCACCGGCAGCTCATCGACTGCATCCGCGGGAAGGACACAGACGCGCTGCTGTCGGCCGTGTCCAGCGGCGCCGTGGATGTCAACTTCACCGACGACGTCGGCCAGACGCTGCTCAACTGGGCCGCCGCCTTCGGCACCAAGGAGATGGTCGAGTTCCTGTGTGAGAAAGGTGATCCATTCTTACTTTCTTGTAACAACTGCACTGAAAAAAAAGGGGGGGGGGAAGATTAATTTTGTAATTTAGACTATAGTCTAGTTATCTGTCGGTGGTGGCTATATCGAGCTGCTGCTACTGCTTCCATTGGGGAAGGTTCCATGGTAGTAGTAGCATTTTATTTTCCCACTTATCTACTTTTTTTTATTAGATAGACATAGATGGGTGGGCGAGCTCACAGCCCACCTGGTGTTAAGTAATTACTGGAGCCCATAGACATCTACGACGTAAATGCACCACCCACCTTGAGATATAAGTTCTAAGGCCTCAAGTATAGTTGCAGCAGCCGCCCCACCCTTTAAACCAAAACGCATTACTGCTTCACGGCAGAAATAGGCAGGGTGGTGGTACCTACCCGCGCGGACTCACAAAGAGGTCCTACCACCAGTAATTACGCAATTTATAATTTTGCGGCTTTGATTTTTATTACACAATGTTATTCCATTCACCATAGAAGACAATCGTGAACATTTGTTGAGTACGCATTTCATTAGAAAAAATTGGTACCCGCCTGGGATTCGAACACCGGTGCATTTCTCAACAAGAATGCACCGGACTTATCCCTCAGGACACAACGACTTCAACTACTACTAGTGTACTACTAAATTCTTATGTTGAATATTAGGGGGCGTCCATTAATTACGTGAGGTGTTCTAGGGGGGGGAGGGGATCGAGCTAAATCTTTCCAAATCTCACTTTTGGGGTCTTGACAAATATCACGTAATTATATTTCTCGCCGAAAACGGTTTAAGATTGCGTGAAAAACTATTGAATACTAATGAAATATGGCCAAATCTAAGAAAATAGTATTTTTCGTATTCGTCCTAACTTTGCAGAGCAGCGAAGTAGCTCTCGATTGTTTAGCTCTATCGACAAATGCGAGTCGACAAACATCGCAACGTAATGAGCTCAATAACAGCGACGCGCCGACACGTTCTAGCCTGCTTTGTTTTGAAGAATCTGGCGTGAGATTAGAGGAGGGGGAGGAGTTGAGAAAAATCTCAAAAACGCCTCACGTAATAATTAATGGACGCCCCCTTAGTCGGTAAGGTATATACTGTCAGGCCACGCCTATCTGGTTCCGGTTAAACACAAAATGTATCGTGAAATTGTTTGCACGCTTAAAGTACTGAAACTGTTGAGTTGCATAATCGATTTTGTCTGCGGATTCTAGTAACTGTTTAAGAACGAATAGGCTTTAGATCTGCTGTCAGTGTATTCCGATAAAATAATTTCGTATTTGACGTTGAACAGGAGCGGACGTAAATCGAGGACAGCGTAGTTCATCCCTTCACTATGCGGCTTGTTTTGGTCGTCCCGCGATTGCCAAGGTACTGCTTCGGTATGGCGCCAATGCGGATTTGCGTGACGAGGACGGTAAAACCCCATTAGACAAAGCGAGAGAGCGACACGATCAAGGTATCGCTTCGAATATAATATAATTTGAAATATGATTTAGTAAGTGTGAAAGTGTTTAATTGGTTTTGTTTTATTTTTACATTATAGGGCACAGGGAAGTGGCAGCAATATTGCAATGTCCCGGAGAGTGGTTGGTTGTCGGCAACAGCGAGTCCCCGTCTCCGTCGACTGATGATGACTTTCCAGAGACTGGCGACAAAGAAATGGCTGAGTTTTACTTAGAGTATGTAATTTTGTGTTTGTGAATCCAATCGCTTTCATAGAAAATTATTCGTTGAAAAAGGGACATTACCCTAACCAAAAAAAAAGGGATTTGAGGCTAAGAAAAACAAAATCGAACGTGTCCGTTTTTTTTTGCTTACATGGGTGGACGAGCTCATAGCCCACTTGGTGTTAAGTGGTTACTGGAGCCCATAGACATTCACAACGTAAATACGCCACCCACCTCGAGATATAAGTTCTAAGGTCTTAAGTTTTAAGGTCTTTAGTTCACATTTATGAAAATTATATTCTGTAATGTCTTTTCAATAGGTAGTTTTTTTAGATTAAAGTTTAGTTTTTCGTACATTGAACTCTGCACTAGATGCAATGCTAAGTGTTAGCGCGGTGTGTGCAGACGGCTGGTGCCGCTGTTCTGCGCGCGGTACGTGGGCGCGGGCGGCGGCGGCGTGCGGCGCGCCTGCCTGTCGCTGGTGCGCAAGATGGTGCACTACGCGCCGCCGCGCCTGCTGCGGGACGCGCACCCCGCCGCGCTGCTCACCAACCTCGTCGCCGCCGTGCTCGACAACCAGGTCACTGACAACATGCACACATCCGAAAGAAATGCTATTAACCCTTTGACTGCCGTATAGGTCACCAGTGCCCTACGTGGCGCACTGAATTATGTCGAACTAGCGACAGGCTCTCGCTTCGCTTCGGAAACTATAATTTATTATTGATTTCTCCACTATTTAATGGATGTTATCTATCTATATATATAAAAATAAATTGCTGTTCGTTAGTCTCGCTAAAACTCGAGATCGGCTGGACCGATTTAGCTAATTTTGGTCTTGAATTACTTGTGGAAGTCCAGAGAAGGTTTAAAAGGTAAATAAATATGAAAATTCTCGGAATTAAATAAAAATAACAATTTTGCTTTTCCTTTGATGTGTCCCCCGTCTGACGGATTCCTTTTGTTTGTTTAAGGATTATTTTATACAAAAGCTTAGGTCTTTTATTTATCGATTGAAGCACTACGAAGTCTGCCGGGTCAGCTAGTTATACATAATTATAAATCTTCCTCTTCAATCACTCTATCTATTAAAAAAAACCGCATCAAAATCCGTTGCGTAGTTTTAAAGATTTACGCATACATAGGGACAGATATAGAGACAGAGAAAGCGACTTTGTTTTATACTATACTAGCGACCCGCCCTCGCTTCGCTTCGGAAACATGAAAACACACATGAAACCAAAAAAATAAAATAATTTTCTTTTTTTAAAAAGTTGCCTATGTTCATCAGGGACAATGTCGGCTTCTAATGGAAAAAGAATTTTTCAAATCGGTCCAGTAGTTTCGGAGCCTATTCGAAACAAACAAACAAACAAATCTTTCCTCTTTATAATATTATTATATTATACTATATAGTGATTACGTTACAGAGACGCCGGAATATCTAGTAGGCTCTGAGAAAGGCGAATCGGAAGATACTGAGAATGAATCTATTTCTAAAACATACATTAAAAACAAACGAAGGTATAGTTAGGCATTGGTAACAGAAATCGATATAATTACTTCAGTGCGCCGCATAGGGCACCGGTGACCGGCATGGCAGTCAAGGAGTTAAACGACAGTCTAATAAACAGTTCATTTATCAAGAAACAAACAGAATCCCTGTTAATTGTATGGAGTTGAAACAGTTTACCTTCCTTTTTCGTTAGGGGCGCTGTTCCAACTTGATACAAATTTGAGTTAAATTTTACGCAATCAAGAAGTTAAAAACCTCGCACTAAACACACTGATCTTTGCTTAGGTAATCAATAACATATTATATCTGTTATATAAAATGCTGCCTGCCATCTATTGGAAAATGTGTAAGGTGTCTTCGTCAAATATATTTTTGGTTATTCTGGTTTCGAACTGGTAATGAAACATAACCGTGTGTGTTTAATCAGGACGAGTACCCCGTCCGGAGGCCGCACCCGCGGTACCTGCGCAGTCGTTACATTCGGCCGCCGGCGGTAATGTTCCGATGGTGTGATTGAACCCGCCCCCGCTCCTCTCTAAACCCGGCTCTAAAACTTTACAAATAATTACTTATAATAATATAACTTGGTTTACATTTTTAGAACCTTTTGATAACGCAACTACACGCACGAACATCTCATTGTACCACATATCGAGCCGTGCTGTGGGTCCGTTAATAATTATCTTGTATTTAGCTAAAACGAGAATGTTTTGAATAGCTGTCATCGAACTAAATTGTTCTTACTAATAAATTTACTTATCATGTATCATAATAAAATTATGTTATAACATTCACACTGCAAAGGCATCACACCATCGAAACTTACTTGCATTCAATACCTTTGTTGTTGTGTTTAATTCCTGGTGTGCAACTCATGACATAGCATACGAAATGATCTTTGGAGTTACTTGAGTAGCATATGTGTGTGTGTGTATGTTGTACATATTGTAAATTACAGTAATGTTAATCAAATTAATGTTAATGTAATAATTTTTTTAATTATAATAAAAAAATATAAAATTAAAAACATTTCATTAAAAAAAGAAAACATTATTTTAAATTCACTTATAATAATATGTATATGATTCCTAAAAAAACAAATATTATTGTGTACATTTTAATTGTCTAATTATTAAAAGATACAAAAAAATTAATGCAATTGAAATTCCTACAGGATGACGACGATGGGCATTTGACAGTTTTGGGCATATCCGAAGAGTTGATGGCCAAGGCCGCCGACGTGTACTTGGAACAGTTCGCTCGGCTCGGCGTTTTCAGCAAAGTCGAAGCTCTCGCCATCACACCCATTCAGTATGACAGCGATGGCAGCTCGACTCCAGGTACTGTTGGATATAATCTATACTAATACTAATCTACGGTGCTTTTTACGGATGCTCCATTATAACTACTGAACCATGCATCCGATTGACTTGAAACTTGGTATCCATGAAGAAAATATATGTACTTAATGGATAGGCTAATATTTATCTGAGTGTTGGACTCCCTACACCAGTTGCGAGGGCGTTAATGATGAGTATCTTTGTGGGGGTGAGAAATAATAATGTTAATTTTAAATGCACAGCGAAGCAGACGGGTACAGCTAGTTAAAAAATAAATCATTACACGTATCAAAAGCATTGAAGGTGCACTTTCTATAATTTTTGTGTTCATAAAAAAAATCAGGAAAAAAACACAATTCAATCCGTTCATTTGATTGATTGAGTTCAGGCGTTTTGGTATGAAGCATGTTAGGGTTGTCTTGAATTAAGTAATGTAATTACTAATTACTATTGTAATTACTATTGTAATTGTAATCGAATAGATATTGTATGGTGGTGTCCAAGAACTGTATTAATTTCTTAAGACGCTGTGCTCAAAAGTTGAGTAGGTGCCTGTAAGATACATTATCACTGATTAGTAAATACCCAACTAATATTAATTCATTTGTTTGCCCGTTTGATTCCCTATTCATTTAGACCTCATCTGAAATAAACGACCTGAATAAAATTAGAGTACTTAACGATAGACCGTGGCTTGGCTCTGCCCCTGGCATTGCTGACGTCCATGGGCGACGTTAACCTCTCACCATGCCGTATGCTCGTCTGCCTACAAAGCAGGCGGGCAGGAGCTCTGTAACAACGAAAGCGCGGGTCGTGACCGTGCTGTGTGTCTCCAGAGCTGAGCGGCGAGGACGCGTCGTGCTTGTCGAGCGGCGTCGCGTACTCGTGGGGCGAGTGGTCGCTGTGCCGCGGCCGCGACGCGCTGTACGCGTGGAGTGACGCCGCCGCGCTCGAGCTCAGCACCGGCAGCAACGGCTGGTTCCGCTTCCTACTCGACGGCAAGCTGGCCACCATGTACTCCAGCGGCAGTCCCGAGCACCAGACCGACAACACTGGCGAGTCAACTCTCCTTCTTTTTTCGTCTAAATTAGATCCTTTTGCGTTACTTGTCGCAGTAGTGCCCTTCAAATTCGTTTTGAAGTTAAAACATCTTGTATGTAATATTGAATCTCTAGGAAATGAAAAAAGCGTCACTAAAAAGGGACAAACGAATAGGATATGTCTTGTGAGGGAATTGGGTATAATACTTGTTAAGAATAACACTTACATTCGCAAGTCATCTGTGACCATGAAAACAGTAAAGATTTCGAAACGTCGGAAATAATGTTATATTGAAGGCTGAAAGGCTGTTTAGCCTAATCAACATTTCGCTTAATACGCAACATTTATCTTTGCAATTAAATGTGTGTTTTATTTGGTATTAGCATCAACAGTTCGAAGTTTTTAATTGAACTTTAATTAAGTTTACTCCATTGAAATAGCTTTTTGGGTAAGGTTTTTTTTCTATTTTTATTTTATTTTAAATGACTTGCAAATTTACAAAAATGTCGCTTAAATCAAATAACCTCTCACCACTCGATATAATGACATTAAAAACGCGAGATTAAATTGTAAAAGTAGCTTTTATTATGTTTACAACTCTCGCAAATCGTGGAGATACGGAAGGGTTGCTTCTACCACGTGCAAACAGATCAATCGCGAAATCTGCAATTCCCAATCTAACTAAATATTCTTGATATTATATATATTATTATATTAATAATAAATTAAAAAATAAGTTAGTCCCAATAGAACTTTACAATAAAAATCCTTCCACTACAGAAAATCGCGGAGAGTTCATTGAAAAACTACAAAAGGCAAAAGCTTCGGTGAGAAACTTTATCCCGCAGCCGATCCTGTCGAAACCCGGTCCCAATAAACTAGTTCTCGGGAATTGGTCCTTAACATGTGAAAAGTAAGTTCCAATTCATACTGAAAAATTCTACACTTTAAAAAGACGTGGATACATATTTTTGAACTTGCAGGGAAAAGGAGCTGCATATATACAATATAGATGGGCAGCAACAGACCACAATATTGAAAGAGGATTTGCCGGGATTTATTTTTGAATCAAATAGAGGAACCAAACATACATTTACTGCAGAAACATTTTTAGGTTTGTACATTATTTTTATATATGTAATTTTTTTATGTTTTCTTTCGAATTAGTTTTCAAGTACCAGGAATAATGTCTGTCGTACTATTTTTTATTTCCCCGGAGCAGCAGAAAATGTTCCCCTAAAATAGTTTGCAATATACACACATTTGTATAAAATAACCACTAAGATTTAGTGCCATTAAAATTAAATTTACTTGAAACGTCACCAGATCAAGAGAGAAGAAAGAACCTTTATTACTTGGTACTGAGTATAAAGATAAGGACGGGTACAACCTTTGGTTTAGTTGTTAAAAGAAGTAAATATGTAAGCCTCTTTATTGAAATATGTTGGTGATAGGGTGGCATATTTAGCTCGCACGGATACCGTTATCCAGCTTGTTTCTACTGTGGGGGCAGTCATATGTTTGGGTCCGTTATACTATATGATTAAGACAAAGACCTCATGTCTACTTAACACGAACCAGACGGGGCATGATTGTCTTTGTATGCATTAAAAATATCTGGACATTACTTTGACAGATTTTCAAATTTTATCTTAGTCAGAGGTCCAGTGGCAGGTTAATTAATTATAATTTTTTTTAACCCAAATTAATACACCATATAGGTCCTGACATCGCCAGTGGCTGGGCTGACAGAAGGTCATTGCTTACCAATAATTCAACACCAACAAAACCTCGTTCTCGAATATCAGCAAAAACCGAAGCTCTTAAAGCACAAGTGAGTATTTTTTATTTATTAAATACAGTTTATAAGAGGACCTCTCTCAAAGAAGAAAATATAACAATAAACTATTAAACCGGAATAATGTCCGTTTTCTTAGTGTGTGTATGTTTAAATGTCTTTTTTAATAATGTTCGAATAATAATAAACGAAACTTAAAAGATGATTTACCAGACTCGCCAGAGATAGATAGCAGATATCTGTAACTGTGATACCAATAAACTGTGATCGTCAACCGTAACCCACTGGGAGTAGCGGTAGGCAGCGGCTTGGCTCTGCCCCTAGCATTGCTGAAGTCCATGGGCGACGGTAACCACTCACCATCAGGTGGGCCGTATGCTCGTCTGCCTACAAGGGCAATAAAAAAAAAGAGTAAGGCGTATTGGGGGTCTACAAGGGTGGATACCACCATCCGGTCTATTTCGGCCGCGGATCAATAATTATGAGTTCTGGTAAGACCGCCGGTATGCTAAACAATTGATACTTAGACCACACCCTCAAGGTGCGTCTGAGTCCACGTTGTGATGTTTGGGGACTTCGGTAACTATTTAATACATGGAGGTCACGTTCGCGCACCTATACAGATGTGTGTGGTTTGTAGGTATGTGAGCGAGCGCGTGCGCTGTACTCGCGGCACCTCGCGAGCGCAGTGACGCGCCAGCCGCGCCCGCCCGTCGCCCGCCTGCGCGCGCTGCTCGCCAGGATGCAACGCATCGCCACCCAGCCTTCCAGTCAGTCATGCACAATATACATGCACTCTATAAAATATTCATTATATTTACAACAAACTTACGTTTATTTGTGGATTATTTCCCATAGTGACAGGATCCTGATTAAAGGTGTTATGTAATTTTCGTTGAGAGTCATTGTAGCCGCATATATGCTTAAAAGTTTATCATTTATTACATTGACATGAAAATATGTTAATTATATTTGTAAAATTGGTTTATAAAATGTCTGTTTTGTCGAGCAGAAGATTGGCAACGAGAGCTCAACGAATCGCTGGATCAGCTGACCGAGTTGCTGTGTGGAGATGAGCATCTGTCTGCGTATGAGTTACAGTCGTCTGGGTTAGCGCCTGCTCTACTACAGGTCCTCTCCCCACAGGTTAACGGTCAGTCACTTCATAAAAATTAATATATAGGTACAGAACGCTTTTTATAACTTTTTTCGAATTCTTGGGACACTGGCGACCGCATTATCACGAACGAGCACATGACTTCACAATGAATAATTCAGTGACGAAACTTAAGTGTTGTTGGTTTCTAAACCTTTTAGACGTTCAAACTGGAGTGATATGTTTGCTTGTTTCGTGGCAGAAATGAGCAGGACGGTTCTTAATTAAGTAAATTAAAATCAGATAGGTAAGTTATTCTTATTATAAACCTGTCGATTTGATCAATTTATTTGATGATTTCTACGTGTTAAGCTGTAAACTAGTAAGCAGATAGAAGGTTAATAAAACGAGTTTCCAAACGTAGACGGTCCGGGCCACCTGTCGGAGCGCAGCCGCGTTGTGAGCGCGTGGATGTGCCGGGCGTCGGGCGCGGCTGGCGCGGCGCTGGCCGAGCGGCTGGTGGCCGTGCTGGAGTCAGTGGAGCGGCTGCCGGTGCTCGCGCCGCACGACGCGCCGCCCGCCCCCGCCTCTGCCTTGCACCACCTCACTAAGCGCATACGGTATGAGTCTGAACCTATTCTAGTAACCTCGAGGGGTTATTCTAGATTCACCGAACTAGTAGGTGAGCTCGCGGGGCTCAAACCTGACGTTGTTGCTAACACGAACCCTAGCAAGAGCCGTGCTTTGCAGAATCTACCACTGGATCGGAAATGCGACCCACTGGGAAGAACCAGCGAGAATCTCCGTGGGCTGTGCCTTTATGTTAATTTACTCGCCGAGTCCTTCGTTGCAAGCGACAGGTTCGACGAGAACGATGACCGGTGCTTGGGGTACATAGAAGCAACGATAGTGGATCGGAAGGATCCGAAATGACGTGTTTTGGACGACGTCGATTGTTTACCATTCGGTCCGCAGGATCGGGAAGGTTGCATCGCAGTTTAAACGCAGTTTTAACAAGTGAACTATTATTCTGTATCCTATGAAAGTCATAGGGAATTTCGAAGGACCTTTCATATGTGAATTCCAAATTGAAGAAGATTGATCATTTAATTGCCAACGGATGTCTAAGTTGCTTCTTGAAATAATTAGGGTTTGTGGCAACCAACGTAGCTGCTATATTCGAAAACGTTTCTGTTTCCCTCTAAAGTTATTATCATATTCCAATTACTGCATTCAGATGGTGGTGGAGTATGCAAAAAAAGTTGTCGATTTAAAATAGTAATAATTACTTTTTTAATCGAACTGTATTAAACAAAATCTTCCTTGTGTACAGCTTGCGCGTCGAACGTGAAAGTGATGAAATCAGCGAAGACAGCAATGCTAATAATAACAGCGGCCGTAACCTGAAAGTGGAAGCCCTCACTACCGTCCGTCAGCTAGAACGGTTCTTGGCCAAGTCCGTAGCGCGGCAGTGGTACGACATGGAGCGGTCCACCTTCCTCTTCGTGCAAAAAATAAAAACTGAAGCTCCTTTAAGCTTCACCTACGACGTAAGCCTTTAACGATAGCTATTTCATATTCAGAGTTAATCAAAGAGCTAAGATACTGGTGATATCTGGTGATACTATTTTTTCTTGTGAGTCCGCACGGGTTGGTACCACCGCCCTGCCTATTTCTGCCATGAAGCAGTAATGCGTTTCGGCTTGTAGGGCAGGGCAGCCGTAGTAACTATACTGAGACCTTAGAACTTATATCTCAAGGTGGGTAGCGCATTTACGTCATAGATGTCTATGGGCTCCAGTAACCACTTAACACCAGGTGGGCTGTGAGCTCGTCCACCAATGTAAGCAATAAAAAAATTATAAAATTAATATGATTTTTACCTTTAGCACGATTTCGATGAAAACGGCGTTCTGTACTTCATCGGAACCAATGCTGGCACTTGTGAGTGGGTGAACCCTGGCGCTCACGGGCTAGTCTACGTGTGGTCATCAGACGGTAAACAGTTACCGTATGGACGACCCGAAGATGTGCTGTCGAGATCTCCAGAACCACTCAACGTGCACACTAATGACGACAGACGCGCTTTCATTGCATTGGACTTAGGCGTTCATATTGTACCAACCGCATACACCTTACGTCACGCCCGTGGCTACGGGCAATCAGCATTGCGGAATTGGCTTTTTCAAGTAAGTTTCATAATCTTTATTCATAACCTGAGTGTTTTTTTTGATAGGGAAGTTGAATCTCCAATCAATCAAGATAAAATATCAATGAATTGGGTGCATTCATAGTACCACTAGTAATAATTCACAAAATTTCTCTGTGTATACTTGTAATTTTGAAATTTGAACGAACAAACACCTCGATATGTTATGTTTATTATTGGTTTATTGTTCATTTTGTCTAACAAATGCCAAGCAAGATTTCACAGAGTTCATGTGACAACGGTAGGAAATAAACAATTTTGAATATTTTATAAAAAGGACTGAATTTCAAATGATTGATGCTTATTGACGATTTATCTCCAGATGTCAGTAGACGGCTTGACGTGGTGTACGTTGGTGGCACACACGGACGAGCAGGCGCTGCAGGAGCCGGGCAGCACGGCCACCTGGCGCCTCCGCACGGATTCATCCTATCGATATCTTCGCATACAGCAAAACGGAAAAAATGCGAGCGGTCAAAAATACTACCTTTCACTCTCCGGGCTAGAGATCTACGGAAAGGTAATAGTTATGTTTAACTGAATTTCTCATCAAACAGATGCAAACAAAAATTTCCACGAATTCGATTTATATGACTGGTTATAAAATGACTAAATGGTTAATTAAATCAAGGATATATATTATACGCTCGAAATGTGATGTTTTGAAAAATAATTATTCAGGTGACAGGAGTGGTGGAGACGGCGCCACGACAAAGCGGTGCCCCGCATCAGACCACGGGCACGACGGCGAGCAGCGCATGTAACAACGCTACCGCGGCGAACAACACGAACAACGCCGGCATGGCGGGCGGCGGCGGCGGCGCGCGGGCGCGGCGGTGGTCGCGCGGCCGCGGCGTGTGTGCGGGCGCGCGCGTCTCCCGCGGCCCCGACTGGAAGTGGCGCGACCAGGACGGGCCGCACCCCGCACTCGGCACTCTCACTTCCGAACTGCACAACGGGTGGGTCGATGTCAGGTATGCCCTCACTTTTGATGATTCTCCCGGCGCTACCAGACATCGCGGATAGGTAGAGTAGTAATCGATGCTCAACAACCCAAAACCAGCTAATACTGTCGACTTGCTCGAGTAATTGACAATGCGTTTCTATGGACGTATGTAGATTCTAATTATTTGGCAAATAGCGCACACTGTACTTGGTGAGTATTCAATGTTCTCCGAATTTTGCGTGCCTGTAGCATTTTGTACATGATCGTTGATTTCGCTGAGTTAGGCGTAATCGACTTTACCGTCCTTAAATCGTGAATTTGAACTATAATCAGAAATGTCTGTATAAAACACGTTGTGAACAGATTTTGTTTAATTCAGGTGGGACCACGGAGTTCGCAATTCGTATCGCATGGGTGCAGAGGGAAAGTTCGACTTGAAAGTTGTGAGCGGTGGTACTGTCATCGAAAGTTCAAAAGCCAGCCGGAAGAGTCACTCAACTCCCAGTTTGCCTGACGCCACTTCTGTCGATCAGGTAATTATGAATAAGTAATACTGTTGATATATATCACTATATTTTCGGGTTCATTCGTTTATTATTGTCTAATTTTATTTTTATGGATCAATTTAGGTATCAGTAGCGTCGACGGAACAGGCCTCGTCAGCGGACAATATATCGAGTGAAGAGATGGTCAGTAATATGTCAAGACCCCGTACGCACGCCACAGATCTCTCTGCCATTAATAATTCGACGCATCATATAAACTCTGGTATGTTATTTAAGAGATACTTGTAGACAAAAGAAAATAGGAATTAGATTAATATTAAAGTATAACTGGATGCGTGAATAATAATATCTAAAAATAACGAATTTTCATGGTGGTAGGCCCTCTTGTGAGTCCGCGCGGGTGGGTGCCACCGCCCTGCCTGTTTCTGCCGTGAAGCAGTAATTCGCTTTGAAGGGTGGGGCAGCCGTTGTAACTATACTGAGATCTTAGAATTTATATCTCAAGGTGGGTGGCGCATTTGCTTTGTAGATGTCTATATGCTCCAGTAACCACTTAACACCAGGTGGGCTGTGAGCTCGTCCACCCATGTAAGCAATAAATAAAAAAAATGTATTTATTGTGACCTAGTGTTGTCATGTGTAATTCACATGAAGTGCACTAGATCTTCAGTTTACATTTAAATATAACACTGAAGCGTATTCACGCGTGCTCATGTTGCCTTCTTTAGTTAATTTAATGGCATAGATAGATGATTTAGTTCACGACCCAGCTAGTGCTAAATGAAGCTTATAGAAATCACAATTGTATGCCACCCACCCTGAGACGAGGTCGGAGTCTTACGTTTATTATTTGTAAATATCCTTTTTGCGTGTGAATAAAGGCTTTTTTGTTATTAGTACAAAAGTTAACTATAGGGAAGTAGCAACTATAATAAATTACATCCACAACCAGTAATATTTGATTTTTTGCTTATTTAAACTGATTCGATGGCGCAGTAGTTAGCGCCCTTGACTACTACTAGGCTGGGGTCGTAGGTTCGATTCCCACTTCGGCTGCCATCTGTGATCGGTCCCCGGATATTTGAATCAAAAGCAATGGTTTGTGAACATGATTCAATAGTAAAATTTAAAGTGTTTGACATAGATCTCGCGACAATAGTGGAGTCATTGACGTTGGGCGCCGAAAGTAACAATTGCATCACCGAGTTGGGGAATACATCGTTTACCAACATGGAAATGGGACCTACGAGCATTACGGATATCACCAAACCTTATCCCGCCAAAGAGCCGTTACCCGAATCCAGTGCACACGAGGTAAGAATTCTTAAATATCTTAGATCAAGTAGAATATTACAACAATGTAGTAATGTTTGTTCCGAAATTTCAGTGCGACGAAAATGAAGCCGGGGAAAGTCAATACGGTGATAATAAGAAGGAAAGTCAGTCCGGTTCGGGCACCATGAGCGCTAGCGAACCTGATTTGACGCAGCAGGTGAATATTAACTTTAACGCTTTGAGATCTAGAGTCCACACGTATTGAACATATAGTTTAGTCTAAAGACCGCAAAGGGTTGAAATAATAATATAATAAATGCACAACACAGACAGTTCACAAAAAGTGATTGTAATTTGTACGCTACTAATAATTTCTTTTTTGAATCTTCGATGCCGAGTAATGTACCGGATGTAAAGAAACTGCTCTCGAAGTTGAAATAGTGTTATAATAAAAAAATAAAAAAATTTCAACGCAATTATGAATATATATATTTGTTTTTTTATCCTACTGTATAAAAACAATTAATTTGCGAAGCAAAAATGATAATTGTATTGATGAATTATATAACTTGATGTTATTTTTCGAATTAACAAAATTGACATTTTACCATTATTCAAGTTTTCAATATTATATTAGTTTTAGTGGTCACAGAGAACAAAAGTGTTTTTTTAAATATATACCTTAGCACAATTTAAAATGACAAACCCAATATCAAATTTTAAAATAGTTTTAATCATAATCACAAATCTTTTTTGTCTGAATAATCTTTTAATTGATCTGTCCGTACATGATGAATGAAAAGTTAAATTTTCGATCACGGTCTCGGATTATCCTTTCCTATATTGATTACTTATATTATTTACTCCACCCGAATATTTCAGCCGTGGGAGTATCTCCCGTTAATTTTCTTAGGGCACGGATTATTATTATTAAAATGCAACGGAGTCTTCGCCTTACCGCATTTGACTAGTGTCAAAGATTCTAATGATCGAGGTTTTGTAAAAAAAGCAAGATGAGTAGAATTATAAAAAATGTTTTACAGCAGCTAGTGACATTTACATTATGTCCATTGGCTCCCGGAATCATTAGACATCAACTGTGAGCTCGTTTGCTTAAATAATCAAATTAATATAAATATGTATTAAAGGGCACAGGACGCCTGTTGGAGTCGCTGGGCGTGGGCCGCGGCAACAGTGCAGGACGAGGCAGCAACGTGCCGCGCTCGAACCGTAACAATCATTCCTCTGGTCTCCTACCTAGGTATTTATTATTTTATTTTATTTATTGGATGTCAACATGTTATACATCAGCACAGGACATTACAGGTAATACATATATTGGTCTCACACTAAATGCTAGCACAATTACAGGTACCGACTGCATGCATTGGTAAAAAAAAGCGGTTCATTGTATAATATTAGAAAAAAAAAAATAGTACATTGTGTACCAAGAGAGAAAAGTAGGACATTTCCTCCCGCGTGTAAAATTGCCAACACGCGGGATGAGATGTCCTACTTTTTTCCCGCGGTTCACATACTATTTTTTCTCCTACCCGGCCGAAAGTACGTGGAGTACCTAGCCGAGGTCCAGGGGCGAAGCCCTGGCTGCGGGTAGGGTGAGCGGAGCCCCCCCTCATACTCATAAAAAAAACAATTTAACTGTTTTTTAATTTTTAAATAAACTACTACTAATTGAATAAGAACTGTCTGATGAACTCATCTTTGTTTAATACTTCACTATTAAATTTTATTGCCTTTTGTTTATTTCACTTTTACACTAAACACAATATTGCAATTACCCGAGCACAACAATGGCGGAGAATTTTAGGTGCGTGAGAGTAGACGTAGACAATAACGCGCATACGCACTTGTCAGTACCCAGGGAGGAAAAGTTAGACTTTCTTCCCAGTAGAGCGGGAGGAAAACCGAACTTTCGGCGTAGGTAGAAGAAAAACATTATCACACATTTACTACCAAATACGCTATTACTTAACTGAAAAAGCTCATTTAGCCAGGATGTGTGCCGTGTGCTGGATGAAGCATTATGAAATGTTGTTAAATGAGACTCGCAATTCGTTGCATCTATGAATACTTCCATATATCATCATCATACTCGCCTCTATTAAATACTAGAACGAAACCGAGAATTTTTATAAATTGAATTTTGTGTGTCAGTAAACATTACGAAGGGCGCTTTGTTGTGACGTTAAACGTGCTTACGGTTGAGTTACAACTCAAGTGTTTTAACCCATACACACAGCCCACTTGAGTTTCTCGCTAGATCTTCTCAGTGGGTCGCGTTTCCGATCCGGTGGTAGATTCTGCAAAGCACTGCTCTTGCCAGAGCTAGTGCCCCCTGAGCTCACTTACACGTCAAGGAGAAGCTGAAATAGCCTCTCAAGACTATCAGCATAGGTAGGGAATTAGAAAAAAAAGTAAGTTTTACAAGACCGCGATAACGCCTATGATGTTCCACAGTTTGGTGCGTTTAGCGTTGTCGAGCAACTTCCCCGGCGGGCTGCTGTCGGCGGCGCAGAGCTACCCCTCGCTGTCGTCCAACGCGCAGAACGCGCTCACGCTGTCGCTCACATCCACGTCCAGCGAAAGCGAACAGGTCAGATCGACGCGCTCTTGTCTCCTTTACTTTTCAAAATACGGATTTTTTTATTGCTTAGATGGGTGGACGAGCTCACAGCCCACCTGGTGTTAAGTGGTTACTGGAGCTCATAGATCTACGACGTAAATGACCACCCACCTTGAGATATAAGTTCTAAGGTCTCAAGTATAGTTAAAACGGCTGCCCCATTCTTCAAACCGAAACGCATTACTGCTTCACGTCAGAAATAGGCGGGGTGGTGGTACGTACCCGCGTGGACTCAAAAAAGGTCCTACCACCAGTAATTACGCAAATTAAAATGTGCGGGTTTGATTTTTATTACACGATGTTATTCCTTCATCGTGAAAGTCAATCGTGAACATTTGTTTAGGACGTATTTCATTAGAAAAATTGGTACCCGCCTGGAATTCGAACACCGATGCATCGCTCAACACGAATGCACCGGACGTCGTATCCTTTAGGCGACGACGACTTCCTAATTTGATTATAATTTTTAAAGTACTATTTGATTGATGGTTAGAAAAATGTGAAATTTGCATGAGGGTAGACTGTTTTTATTTAACAATCCATGCTATTGTAAAATTTCAAATGATGTATGTGAAGATGATAGAATTGGTTTTTAAATGAATTATGTTTGCAAACACGAGTCTTTACCGATCATAGCATAGATATTCCGTTTATTTGTACACTTATTCGTAGGAATTGCATGGTTTTGGTAACAGGGGTGTAACACATGAAACAAATAAAAAAGTTAGTTGTTGGAAATCGGCGATAGTCCCGCTCCCGCATTTCAATAACTAAGATAAAACAAGAGGTGAAGTAAACTTTGAAAATTTTATAGGTCTCATTAGAAGACTTTTTGGAGTCTTGTCGTGCTCCCGCGTTGTTGACAGAGTTGGAAGATGATGAAGACGGTGATGAGGCGCTGGACAGCGACAAAGAGAACGAACCCACTTACCAGGAGGTAGTCAGTAAACTTTTGGTGATTATTGTTTTTTGTTTTTTTTCACTAACAGAACTAAAAATCTATTCATATGTTTTATTTTGTATGTCTAGTTTAGAAGTGTTTCAACACTGCTTAGTTTTTCTAGTAGCTTGTTTTTCTTCACTCTTATAACAAATATATTAATTTTTTTAAAGATAATATAAGCTTTAGTAAAATAATCTAAATACCTGTTTATAGAACATAAAATATTTGTAGCATAGAGAGATAATTTAAGTGTAAATAATTTATAGTTGTATTTGTGCTTAGGAAGCGAAGCAATTATAGTAATTGATTAAATAAGTTATTTATAAGCTGAATTATCTTGTAAATAAATAGTATTGAAGTTGACTAATTTTCTAGAAGTAAAATATTATTTACAGGTATCTCGTAATTTGCTCTCTCTGATGGAGGAAGAAGCTTTAGAGGCTCTACGTGGCAGCTCGGGATCTGGACAAAACAATCGCTCGCGCCGACCCTGGGACGACGACTTCGTGCTCAAGCGACAGTTCTCAGCGCTCATACCGGCCTTCGATCCTCGCCCGGGAAGAACGAATCTCAACCAAACTGTCGGTACGTCTACATTTATTAATACTACACAATAATCAACAAAAAAAATTAAAATTAAAACAATTGGTATGATGAGTACCTAGAGCTGATACTCTAATTACACATGCACATAAAAAACACATATAATGAAAAAGTGAAAATTGATTACCTAATGTTATTGTCCATTTGAGCTGGTAAGATTGTTATTTTGTAAATAACGGCAAATTCTGGTGCTACTATTACATAGCGCCTACGGTTAACTTTATTCAAGTTTTCAGTAACTAACTCAATGTAATGTTGTCACAAATTCATACTATACGTTTACAATCGGGTCTATCATGCCTCTTGATGTGTATGTTTGTTAATTAAAATCGAGCGATGTAAGTGAAACAATGCAGATGGTCAATAAATAAAGTGACGTTTGTAAAACAGGTCAGAACTTAATTGTTAACAGATCTCGAAATACCTCTGAACGAGGAGTCCGAAGAGGAGGAGAGTTGGGAAGAAGTGCCAGAGAACGTCGGCGGCGGCGCGACTAGCGAGACCGGTCGCGCCCCGGCGCTGCGCCTGGTACTGAGCGCGGGCGGGGCCTCGCTGCCGCTGGCGCGCGGCTCCTGGACGCTGTACCGCGCCGTGCTGCTGCTGCACGCCCGCCTGCCGCACGCAGACCTCCATCGAGATACCACATACACGTAACTAGCGCATACTAAATCTCCAACTCGCAATTTGCTTTTATTGGTGGTAGGACCTCTTGTGAGTCCGCGCGGGTAGGTACCACCACTCTGCCTATTTATGCCGTGAAGCGGTTTGGAGGGCGGGGCAGCCGTTGTAACTATACTTGAGACCTTAGTACTTATATCTCAAGGTGGGTGGCGCATTTACATCGTAGATGCCTATGGGCTCCAGTCACCACTTAACACCAGGTGGGCCGTGAGCACATCCACACACATAAACAAAAAAAAATTGTATCACACCGTACTACGTTCGCCGCTGAACGTACTGTCTAACTCTTAAAAAACATGTGGTAGTTTCTTACGTTATTAATATTTCATTAGTCGCTGATATATTACTATATCGTAAAATGAATATTTCTAATTTAGTTTTTAACAAAAAAAAAAATATTAATTGTTGTCTAAATAATTATTATTACTTGTCACGATCCTCTAAATAATAATAAAAAATTATCATAATATGCTTTTAATACATTGTAAGGCATGTAGAATTTTTTTATTACCTTAATATAACATACTGTTTTTACTTATTACGAAAATGAGTTCTATTGTAATATATTTTTTTGTTTTTATTAGTTTAACATACAAGGAGGTGGAGGGTTCAGAGGGCGCATTTGCTTCGAGTGACACTGAAGATGATGAACCTAATGATCCAGGTAAATTACATTTCAACAACTAACAAAAAGCTACATATTGTATTTAAGCATCAAAAAGTAGTGACTGTCTTTAATGGTGGTAGGACCTCTTGTGAGTCCGCATGGGTAGGTACCACCGCTCTGCCTATTTCTGCCGTGAAGCAGTAATACGTTTCAGTTTGAAGGGCGGGGCAGCCGTTGTAACTATATTGAGACCTTAAAACTTATCTCAAGGTGGGTGGCGCATTTACGTTGTAGATGTCTATGGGTTCCAGTAACCACTTAACACCAGGTGGGCTATGAGCTCGTCCACCCATCTAAGCAATAAATAAAAAAAAACTTGTAACTAAGACGATTGTTTTTGGTTTGTGCACGGTGTTATAATCGCTTTCCGCATTGCAGAAGGCGGTATAGTGGGTGCAGAGGGGAGCGAGGGCGGCATGGCCACGAGCTGCGTGCGCGTGCTGCGGCGCCTGCGAGCGGCCGCGCCCGAGCTGCCCGCCGAGCCCTTCCTCTCCACCAAGCTCACCAACAAGCTGCATCTCCAGCTGCAGGAGCCGCTCGCGCTCGCCGCCGCCGCCACTCCGCATTGGTGATCACCTTTTTTGTGTTTTCTTGCTGAACCTTCCGATTTAATTTTAACTTGTGACTCCTCGTGAATAATGTCTCCATTAAAAATTAACACATAAAACCAATTTTAAAATGTTCTTATTCTTGACTTGAATCTATCCTATGGAACAAACTCTTACAACGTAACTTTCGAAAAGTTCAAAATACAAGAATAAACTAACTCGAAAATTTATACATATATCAAGGACCGATTACAATAAAATATTTGTTAATATTTTGGCCTAGTATAGTAGTAACTAAGTAGTAATAAGTCGAGTTGCTTATGTGTGGGCTCTATTAATTCTATATATATCTATTTATTGTCCTGTAGGTGTCAGCAACTGATCGATTGGTGTCCATTTCTGTTTCCACTCGAAACAAGACAAATGTTTTTCGCATGCACCGCGTTTGGAACGTCCCGGACCATCGTCTGGCTGCAAGCGCAACGTGACCGTGCTTTGGACAGACAGAGGTGAAATACAGTTTATTTTTATAGTAATCAATAACAATAAAATGCGTAATAATGTTTGGAGAGTCAGATTCATAATTTTAGAATATAAACATAATATTCCTGTAATCAGAGGCACACATTTACTCTATCATAAATACAAAGGTATCTATACACATTTGTTTTGATACTGAGTGACCTATAAACAGCGCAGTATAACATAAAAATATATAGTGTAATGGGATTGTTTACAACACGAAGCGAAAGTAACCGGCAGACTGCTCGCCATGTAAAAATGTGTTACATTGCTTACTGAAAAAAACCATTCGGTTTTTTTTGTCAACTTAACTGACAGCAAAATCGAGGGGCTATTCGGATTTTACTTTGATTGGTGGGCGAGCTCACGGGGCTCAGTCTGAGAATATTAGCTAACAGTCTGAGCAAAGGCAGTGCTACGCTGAATCTACCACCAGATCGGAATCGCGACCCACTGAGAAGATTCGCCGAAAAAATCAGTCCGTGGTTTAGGTTGAACGTCGAGCGAAAAATAACACGTGATTTATTGTTTGTATTTTAAATATAATTCAACTAACACCAGAAATAGCATCTATTTGTTTTCAAAGTAATTACTTACGATGAAGGAAATAATCATAAATAAAAACCTAATTAATTAATTATTAATTATAAATTTGTATATTTAGAGCGACCAACACGGTGTCACCGCGCCGAGCGGAGCTGGAAGCGACTGAATTCCGCATGGGTCGCCTCAGACACGAGCGCGTTCGGATTCCGAGAGATCCCGACATGCTGCGTTCTGCTATTCAGGTAATAACTCCCATAGCAGTAGCTTAAGGAAGCCACGGTCGCTTACCTATTTCATGTCATTAATGATAAATAGTTTTATTTTGCTCAATTGATTATTTATTTAATTTATTTATCTGATCAAACGTTACTTAAGTACTTTATGTTTTGTGTAACTAATTTCTAAATTCTTATTGCTGTAAACAAATGTTAGATTGGATTTGTTGACATTATGTATGGCGTGCGGCAGGTGATGCGAGTGCACGCGAGTCGCAAGTCTGTATTAGAGGTGGAATTCGCGGGCGAGGAGGGCACTGGTCTCGGGCCCACGCTGGAGTTCTACGCGCTGGTGGCGGCCGAGCTGCAGCGCGCCGACCTCGCCCTGTGGCTGCACGACGCGCCGCTGCACGTCGATGACGACGCGCCGCTGCACCTCATGCAGCCCACAGGTACTAACCAACTAACTATACGTAGACGCAGTAGACGTAGACTTAGTGTGGTCTCATTTAAATTAGTTTTGTCTTTTTACTTTTTATTGATTATATGGGTGGATGAGCTCACAGCCCACCTGGTGTTAAGTGGTTACTGGAGCCCATAGACATGTACAACGTAAATGCGCCACCCACCTTAAGATATAAGTTCTAAGGTCTCAGTATAGTTACAACGGCTGCCCCGCCCTTCAAACCGAAACGGATTACTGCTTCACGGCAGAAATACGCAGGGCGGTGGTACCTACCCGTGCGGACTAACTAGAGGTCCTGCCACCAGTAATTTATAATTTTACGGGTTTGATTTTTATTCGACACGATGTTAGTCCTTCACCGTGGAAGTCGATCGTGAACATTTGTTAAGTACGTATTTCATTATAAAAAATTGGTACCCACCTGCAGTATTCGAACACCGGTGCATCGCTCGATACGAATGCACCAGACGTCTTATCCTTTAGGCCACGACGACATCAATCAAGATGTCAATAAGATTAAACGATTTTCTCTAAAAGAAAAACAAAATTCGTAGTTTAAACGTTAATAATGCAGCGATGATTTAAAATAGAATGGTAATGTGGAAACTGCTCTTAGTAGCTACCGTTGTTAATATCATAAATAAAAAAATCCAATTTTCTGCTTCATGCCATCCCTACTGTTTAGTTGTAAATAATATTAAGCTATGTCTCCTGTCCATAATTGAAGTCTATCAGTCGAACCCGTCGTCATTCTGAAATGGCGTGTCAGATTTGTATGATGTTTTCCTGACGATCATTTAGTGCAAATTTAGCTTTATATCGTTTTCGTTGTGAATTGATGATAATTCCTAACTTTTCTTAAAAAAAATAATTCACTTAAAAACGTTTTAATTTCAGAAAAGCCACCCGGTTACTACGTGAGCCGGCCCGGTGGCCTGTTTCCGGCTCCACTTCCGCAAGAATCCCCTATCTGTGATAAAGTGTGCAAATATTTCTGGTTTTTAGGAGTATTTTTAGCTAAGGTAAGATTTCCATGACAACATAATTTGAGAAACAAAATCAAGATGAATGTAAAATTGTGTAAAACAGTTCGTAATTATAATTCATTTACCTTGTGTACCAATAATTATAATATATTTAAAAAAGAAACCGGTTATTTTATGCTAAGAAATGTTTTGAATTATGAACACGCCATTTTTAGGTATTACAAGACGGCCGACTAGTTGACTTGCCTCTGTCAGAGCCGTTCTTACGTATAATGTGTGGTGAAGAGTTAACGAAAGAGAATTTACAAGAAATCGATCCCATTAGACATAGGTGAGTGTTCTCATAACCATATCTAACTTAGAATAAGTTTTTATTGAATGTAAAAATGTCTCTAATCGTGATGTTATGTATCTTTTTGCATTAATTTTTACTCTCATAAATAGAACTACGTCAAATGATATTTTTACTGTACTATTTTTTTAATATATTACGCTATTAATAATGTTGCTATTAATAATGTAGAAAAATTTAAGTATAAGTTTCACACCGTTGTATCTCAAGTGTTGACCTGTAAACTTGTATTTTGACTTCATATCGACGCTTGAAAGGCAAACGTGACTAAGCGACAATAACTGCTTTGTACATAAATGATAGGCAATAACCGTATTCGATGCACAAAAAAAATATTTCTAGGTCAATTAAAATAATTTCAATCCTACAGCTAGATTCGTTAAAATATAATTTTTTCCAGGTATTTCAACTTTAAATTAGTCTACTGTAAAGTTCACGCATAGTCGCTTAGTCATGTTTGCCTTTCAAGCGTCGATATGTTAATTATTATTTTAAATTGACTACAGATTCTTAGAGAAGATGCTCGAAGCAGCCGAGGGGTACGACAAAATAATGCGTGATGAATCCTTGGACGAGAACGAGAAGCAGAAACGTGTCAGTGAGTTAAATGTAGACGGCGCCGCTTTTGAAGAATTGTCTTTAACTATGACGCACATCGCACCCAACGTCGACCCCGCTGTCGCCGTGCAACCGCTCTGTGATGGCGGAGAACATATCGAGGTCAGTTTCTGAATAAATATTTTTCTTCCTACTAGTTAAATTAAGACAAACAAGGCACAACACATATATATTAACTAGCTGTACGCGTCCGCTTCGCTGNTAGACGGCGCCGCTTTTGAAGAATTGTCTTTAACTATGACGCACATCGCACCCAACGTCGACCCCGCTGTCGCCGTGCAACCGCTCTGTGATGGCGGAGAACATATCGAGGTCAGTTTCTGAATAAATATTTTTCTTCCTACTAGTTAAATTAAGACAAACAAGGCACAACACATATATATTAACTAGCTGTACGCGTCCGCTTCGCTGGGCATTTAAAATTAATATTATTATTTCTCACCCCCACAAAGATTCTCATCATTAACTCCCCCGCAACTGGTGTAGGGAGTCCAACACTCATATAAATATTAGCCTATCCATTAACCATTATCCATTAACTACATGTATTTTCTACATGGATACCAAGTTTCAAGTCATATTGTATAATAGTTTATTTGGCTTTTTTTTATTGCTTAGATGGGTGGATGAGCTCACTACCCACTTGGTATTAAGTGGTTACTGGAGCCCATAGACATCTACAACGTAAATGCGCCACCCACCTTGAGATATAAGTTCTAAGGTCTCAGTAAAGTTAGTCGTTTTACAACCAGATGCCTGCTCAACGTCATTAAAGTCTGGCAAGTAATTTGTGTGAGGGTGGGTTCATTTAAAAAATAAACGACGGCTCGAAACAATTAATAGACTAATATCACGTAATATCCTCTATTTCATGTTAAACTACTTAATAAGTATTGTTGTAGACGGTGCATAGTTATGAGGTGAATATTTCCAAAACACATTCGGGTGTTTCGGTATTTTTGGAAACCGTATAGGTTTAAATCGTTTAATAAACTTTTTATTGTATGAGTAAATATTTATAAATATAAAATTGAAAGGTCTGACCTCAATGTGGGGGAACAATGAGTTTGAGACAAAAAAAAAACATTATGATATCGGTTGTGACAGGTGGGCGCGCACAACGCTCGTCTGTACGCGGAGTGGAGCGCGCGCTGGATGGTGTCGGCGGGCGTGCGGCGCCAGGTGGCGTGGTTCAAGCGCGGGTTCGCACGCGTGTTCCCGCCGCGACGCCTGCGGGCCTTCTCTCCTTCCGAGCTGCGCCTGCTGCTCTGCGGGGAACGCGGCCCCGTCTGGACCAGGGAACATCTGCTGCAGTATACCGAACCTAAACTCGGATACACCAGAGATAGGTATACTAACACTGTCACTGTTTCGATGTCACGAGTTCCAGACAGCTAGTTATTTAGTTTTTTTTTTTAATTAAAGCTATGTGTATTATATAACGTAACTTATACATACATACGTACTTTAAATGGTATTCAAGATTGTTTGAAGTTAGCACTCTATTAAAACGATTGACAAGGATAATAATAGTTTAGATCAAATCGGTGGCACATCTGCCAGGGTAATCTAATCAGAATTATAGAATTTCAAACTAAGGTGTTCTATATTTTATAGAGAATTATCGATGAGCTTAATCGCATTATTTATTTGATCGTTAACAGTCCGGGATTCCTTCGTCTGGTTGACGTTCTGGTTGAGATGTCGATCTGCGAGCGTAAAGCATTCCTGCAGTTCGCGACGGGATGCAGCAGCCTGCCGCCCGGCGGACTTGCCAACCTACATCCTCGACTCACGGTTGTACGGAAGGTGAGTAAATGACGATTAAATTATGTACTCGGTTTATCAAAGATAGTCGGAATTAAAGGAAGTAATAATTTGATATTCAGTAACAAAAACAACGATTTACAGTAGATTGGGGGAATAGGAACTAGAGGTAGAATAGAGACAAATCTGTTCTTTTTTTATTTTATTTTTATTACTTAGATGGGTGGCCGAGCTCGCAGCCCACCTGGTGTTAAGTGATTACTGGACCCCATAGACATCTACAACCGAAAATGCGCCACCCACCTTGAGTTCTAAGGTCTCAGTATAGTTAAAATGGCTGCTCCACCCTTCAAACCGAAACGCATTACTGCTTCACGGCAGAAATAGGCAGGGTGGTGGTACCTACCCGCGTGGACTCACAAGAGGTCCTTCCACCAGTAATTACGCCAAATTATAATTTTGCGGTTTTGATTTTTATTACACGATGTTATCCCTTCACCGTGGAAGTCGATCGTGAACTTTTGTTGAGTACGAATGTCATCATATTTTGGTCTGGTCATTAGAGATTTAACTTTGTTGAACTGAAAATTACTTTTATTTAGTGTTTAAGAATATTGAATATTTAAATTTGGTCATCAAAGTTTTGTAACTCATTAAAGATGTTAAAAAGTGAACTACCTAAAGGTACCTACCTACCTAACAACTAAATAGTGCTAGCCCTATCGAAAAACTCTGTTGTCCCCATACGTAACCCGATTCACCCCAACACCTGGGTGAATAGGGACAAGTGAGTTTTTGTAACTTTTTATGATTATTCTTTAATAAACTGTATCTTAATGCATTATAAATAAAAATTTAAACTACCAGAACCATTATGATCCTCGTTTTATTACCATAACTACAAAAAAAAACCCATAAAAATCAATATCGAACTTAAAAAGTGTCCCGATTTTACGGTATCATTATAGTTAGTTATAGTAACTACAATAAGAAAACTATAAAAATCAATGTCGAACTTAAAAAGTGTCCCGTTTTCCTCGCATTTTACGGTATTGTAATTTTCAGGTCGACGCCGGAGATGGATCGTACCCTTCAGTGAACACCTGCGTGCACTACCTGAAGTTGCCCGAGTATTCGTGTAAGGAAGTGCTACGCGAACGTTTACTGGCCGCGACCAACGAGCGCGGCTTTCATTTAAATTAATTCCTAATAATATAATCGTGTTTATATCAAAATATATTGTAACTATATTTGAACATTTACACGCATCAATGCTGCACTTTGCCTTTATATACTCCTGATTTTTAAGTAATGTCGAAAATTAATTCAAAGCTGTCCCGTTTTGTTACTCTTACTGAAATAATGTGCTTGAATATAATACAATTGTATTTAATAGTTCAAATTCTTTAAATTAAGCTGCTATTACATTTTATCCAAATTAAAATACACAAATATGTGAGTAAGATGGCTAAAGATTGAATTGATTAAATGAGTAAAATTCAATTTAATTAACAACAATTTGTAACATGCCTACAAGAAATGTTTTCAATATATCGATTCTGGAAATAGTATGTATTTAAATGAAAGTTGTTTACTATCATTAAATTCGTGTTAGTAAATCGGAAACACCAATTTTCTAAAATAAATAATATCTAGGCGTAGATTTAGTTGAATAAGTAAATTTATTGATCGTGCTTAAATTCTAATCTTTGTTTAATTTTGATGGAGGCGCTGTCTAATCAATAACAAATTCTAGTATTACAATAATGCTGTAGGTAGAGATACGACCGGTACATAATTCCGAAAAGTATTCTGTCCCCAATAAAATATACACATTTTAGAAACTCAGTCTAAAAAAATAAAAATAGTATTATGATTGATGTATTATAAAAAAATCGAAAATTAATACGATACCATCAGATATGTATGGTAATACGATTTGCAACTTTCCATAAATGCTTTCAGCCCTCAAGCAGGTGCGAAACCCATTGCATCTAGCTATTAGACAGCGCCTAGTTTAATAAATAATCAAGATTGATACTCAAGAAGAACTAGAGCACTTTGTAATTTAAAACGATATTTTGACAGCTAATAGCTCTGGAGCTCTTGATTATAATATACAAGCATACAAGAACCAATATAAGGTCTTACAGTTTTTTAAATAATAAAAAAAAACAGCTATTAAGTCATACGTTTTAAATTAAGTAAATAAAACCATGGAATGTTCCTTTGTATAGGAATGTTTGTTATTTTTGATTGAATTTTATAGGCAAGAAATATCCATGAAAATAAGTAATGGTGAAAAAAAAAGTTGTAAAATGACAAATATTAATGTTTTAAAGATGAAAGGAAGAGAGTAGCAGTAATGACATGAAACGTTTTATGTTATTTGGTTTCAAATTTCTAACTTTTCATATCTGGACGTATTTTAAATTTATTTTTATTTTAGATCTCATTAAAAACTGATTATATGAAGTAGAATGTATAAAAACCCATTTAGAAAAGTCAAATTTCATTTTGTAAGCTTTTGCGTTTCGACAACTATAGATTAATTTAAAAAGTATCCCCTTTAACTCTACCAATATGATACAATTTGGTTCCGAAAGTGTTTTTTTGTAAATGAATAACACATTAAGCGCCTGATGCGGTCATTCTGTATTTGTACATATATTGATCTACAGTGGATTTGATGAAATCATATTGATGATATTTAGACCAAAAAGAACAGGAGACTCGAGTGTCGCATTAATCAATGCTTGTAAGGGTCTCCGACGTTAAGGTGTGAAACACTAATAATATCGCGTGTTTATGAAATTTAACTGATTAGCTGTGTTCCTTTATTTCAATCATATTATTTTGTCAACTGAAAGTTGATATACTATTGTGATTTATTCTAGAAATATTTTATCAATTAAAATGTATTAAGTTTAAATTTAATAGATATTTAGAATTTAATGATTAACATTACATAACAAATTGTAGCGTTCTTGTAATTGTTGAAGATTGTCTCAATAAATAATTCGAAAATATTTTTTTTGTCTNTTCCTTTATTTCAATCATATTATTTTGTCAACTGAAAGTTGATATACTATTGTGATTTATTCTAGAAATATTTTATCAATTAAAATGTATTAAGTTTAAATTTAATAGATATTTAGAATTTAATGATTAACATTACATAACAAATTGTAGCGTTCTTGTAATTGTTGAAGATTGTCTCAATAAATAATTCGAAAATATTTTTTTTGTCTCAATAATTCCTCTTTCCGTCATACGACTGCGAAACCTTATGGTGCTTGTTGAATTCGAATTCAATTGACTTCTAGATTAACAGGAGTTGATAAACAAAATACGTAGATGCTTATTGTAAGTGTTCACGATATGGGAGGCAACATTGGAGACTCGTATGTTGGGTGGTAGCATTTACCTTGTGATGTCTGTGGGATTCGGTAACTTATTTTCACTAGATCGGCTATGTGTTAATCAGCTCAAATATTAACAATATAATTAATAAATCGATTGAAATAAAAAAAAAATTGTACATTGTGCACCGCGGGAGAAAAGTTGGACATTTCCTCCAGCCTGTTTGCCACCCGATCCGAAGGCTAGGGTGGCAATTTTACACGCGGGAGGAAATGTCCAACTTTTCTCCCGCGGTGCACATACTATTTTTTCTCCTACAAGGCCGAAAGTTCGTGGAGTACCGAGCCGGGGTCCAGGGGCGAAGCCCCGGTGGGGTCTAGGGGCGAAGCCCTGGCTGTAAGTAGGAGGGGCGGAGCCACTCCGTACTCATAAAAAAACAATTTAATTGTTTTTTTTATTTTTAAATAAACTACTACTAATTGAATAAGAACTGTCTGATGAACTCATCTTTGTTTAATACTTCACTATTAAATTTTATTGCCTTTTGTTTATTTTACTTTCACACTAAACACAATATTGTAAATTACCCGAGCACAACAATGGCGGAGAATTTTAGGTGCGTGAGAGCAGACGTAGACACTAACGCGCATGCGCACTTGTACACAGGGAGGAAAAATACACTTTCTTCCCTATACAGCGGGAGTAAAAGTTACACTTTCTTCCCTGTATAGCATGACGAAAACCGAACTTTCGGGGTAGCTAGGAGAAAAAAGTAATATCGTATGATAAATCCAGTTAGAAGGGTGCGATAGCCGTTATCTTTTTATTGAGGTTTCAAGGTAGACAGTAGTATTTGTTATGTGGCGTCTGCGGCTTCTCTCCAGCAAAATGTTAATGTTAGGTGGTCTGCAAGTTCATTTGCCCATCTTATCTAATATAAATCTTTTAGGATTTCATGAATTAAAAAAAGAGAAGATTTAAGCAGAATATAACATATTATTACCGTACTAACCTAAGCGTCTATTCACAAAATTAAATGACCTTTGATTTGAATAAATTCACTCGAGAACCCGTACTTCAACCGGTTCCGTGCATTTTTTTATTGCTCTTGTAAGAAAACGAGCTTTCGTCCCACCTGATGGTAAATGGTTACTGTCGCTCATGGTCGTCAGAAATGCCAGGGGTAAAACAAAGCCACTATCTTCCGCTTCTGATTTTTATTGCATTGAAATGCGTGTTATGTGCGTTAAAATAATTTCCGATCACTATATGGTTTGTGTTATCCTATGGTAGGTACACATCAAATATCAAAACGGTATTACTGAATCTAAAAGGTTTATCTCTAGAAACTAGTGATAACTATTTATGGACAAAAGTGTACTGTGTGAAAGGGAAATTATGACTATGATTTTTTATTCAAGTCGATTTTTCACATTGAGACATAGTATTCCGCAACGAGCTTGCTTCGCTGCTTGAATACTTGCAACCTTGGTCTTTTACACAATTTTCATACAATACAAACTAAACGAACTAGGGGTATAAAAACATAACAACTATTGGGATTGTCATCAGTCAGCTGTCTCGATCATATCTGAATCGGTTCGCTGGAACAATGAGAGTTTTACTATTTTCTTGCGTCGCGCTTGCGGCGCTGACATATGTCAGTTGTCGGGCGACAAGGGAGCGACGCGATGCCGACCTAGAGGTTGCGGCCAGTCATCATGGGGGCAAGTGGGACAAAGGAGGTGGACACGAAGACCACGCTCATCATCATCACGATCATGGAGAAAAGGGCCATAAAGGATATAAAGGGCATCATCATCATGAGCACGGGAAGAAGGGACATCATCATCATGAAGGGCACAAAGGACACCACGATGAGCACGGTGGACATAAAAAACATCATCATCACGACGATGGATACCATCATGAGCACCACCATGGTGAAAAGGGTGACAAAGGTCATGGTCATCACGAGGAAGGGCACTATCACAAGGGTCATTCCACAAAAGGACACCATGGTGTCCACAAACATGATGAGTTCAAGAAAGAAAAGCATTTCCATGATCACCATCATGATGGTGGTCATCATGAGCATCACGGTGGACATCACGAGGAGCATGGTCACAAGAAGGGCGGTGGTTTCCATAAAGGACATAAGCGCGATGGTCACCATCATCATGAACATGGCAAGAAGGGTCATCACGAGAAGGGTGGACATCATCACGATCATAAGGGCCATCATGACGAAGGTGGCCACCACGAGCATCACCACCATCACCATGATCATGGGGACAAGGGAGGCCATGAACACCACAAGCACTGGGGCCACAAGAAGGGACATTAAGCCACTTGTTTTTGTGACTCCAAATCGAAATGAATTAATTCCTTTTTCTAGATTTTTAAAGATAAGCTTAATTTTCCTATAACTATAGGTTATTTTATGTTGACTGTGATGTTATGTTTTATTAAAACAAGTTTGTTGATACAATGTAGCACTTGTTTTTGTTCCAAATCATCAATTTCCAAATACATAAGTACAAAGTCAAGTGAGAAAAAAACCTCAGCAATCATTGCAGGTACAAAAACAAACTTATCAATTTCACGGCACGTTTCGACAACTAAGTTACATAAAATTGTTGGCGGTAGACCGTTGGCAACGAATCCCGGCGAGATAAGTAACTCAGCGTTGAGAAACTAGAGCAGTGCCCGTGATTGTTCTACGTTTCAGTGGACAGAGAATTAGTTGTGGCTGTAATCAACTTTTGTTTATCTATAAAAAGGTAGTCACTGATATTGTCAAGTCGTTGGGCAAGAATGGAAACACTTATCGAAAACTGAGGTAGCAATCAGAAAGTGTAAGAAAAATATTTACAGAAATTAGGCATACAGTACAATATTTTAGAATTTCTAATAGAGAAACTAAAACGTGTCTGTCTATAATTAGCTGAAGAAGCTTTTCAGAGAGTTAAAAAAACTATCACATTGTGTTGGATCTACATTGTTTTGGAATAATAATTTCATGAAAATCATTGAAGTACAGGAAAGTGAGGCTAATTTTGATTTTATGATTTGTCTCAGTTTGTATTACGGGATATATGTACTTTATCTTGTATTTTTAGCTTGTCCTGTTTTTAAATAAATACATATATTAATATGTAAGTTGTTGCTGCCATATTTTTCCTATTTGTGCGATATTGTGCATCCACAGTAGACACTCTACACTAGTAATCGATGAAATTTTGTACAAGTCGTACTTGGATTCATGCCATGCATATTGTTCAAAAATTGAGTTTAGTTTCTGTTCTTCCATTTGTAGTTTTAAAAGTATATTTTGATAAAATTCGAAAGTATATTTTGTGAATAGCTTAAGTATATTATAATTTTGGATTAGATCTTATTATTATTTACACTCAATCCAGCCACAAAAAATTATTAAATAAAACAATTGAACTAGCGTGGCAGGCTTTTAAGTAGATTTTAGCTAATTCTTTAGACGTCGAATTATTTGCAAACCTGAACTCTTTAATATACTCGTATATGAACCGTCCGTTCCTTAACAATTGTATTTTTTTCCTACCTATGCTGATAGCCTTGAGTGGCTATTTCAGCTTCACCCTAACGTGTGTAGGTGAGCTCACGGGGCTCAAACCGGAGAGTTGCTAACACTGACCCTAGCAAGAGCAGTGCTTCGCAGAATCTACCACCGGATCGGAAACGCGACCCACTGAGAAGATCCGGCGAGAAACTCAGTGGGCTATACAATTGTATGTTACACAAACTCGCGTATGTACTAAGTAAGAATACTCTTATTAGTATAACCGTTTTATTATTAAGAATGGACGCAACATGAACAATTTCATGCTTGTAGTTATTTAAAATTAATGTAATAGGGTGCTTCAAATAGGTAGCATCTGCCGCGAATTTTTTTAATAACCAAAATAAATCAAAATTAGCTACATCGTACATAAGAAAAGGTTACAAGTGGTTAGTTTTAAGCGTTAGGTTTTTAATGAATAATGTGGATGGATGTAAATCTGTTATTGTGTATAAAATACCCGGTGTGCTCATGTCGAGTAATGTGACTATTCCGGTGTCAAAACCCTGGAGGCGGTGCCAATCTTTTTAACACGCTTTTATTTCATTCCTTTCTATATATAATTATGTTTGTATGTCAGAATCCTTGAATGTGATTTTTACCTTCTTTTTTTTTGTTTCTTAGATGGGTGGACGAGCTCACAGCCCACCTGGTGTTAAGTGGTTACTGGAGCCCATAGACATCCACAACGTAAATGCGCCACCCACTTTGAGATATAAGTTCTAAGGTCTCAAGTATAGTTACAACGGCTGCCCCACCCTTCAAACCGAAACGCATTACTGCTTCACGGCAGAAATAGGCAGGGTGGTGGTACCCACCCGCGCGGACTCACAAGAGGTCCTACCACTCAGACTCGCGTTGGGGGCTTAAAGGTGAGAGTCTCACCGTGAAATATCATCATACAATGCATTTGAAATTTGGACCTCATTTTCAAAGTGGATGAGTCGTCTTTCCATTTACAGTTAAAAATATAAGTACAGGATATATCGTACATACATGGTCAAAATCTCATAATTTCACCTAAATTTGGTTATGTGGTTCGGAATCCCTCCGCAACAAGTGTGTGAATCTTGAGGCGATTGCGGTTAACCATTCCCGATGCTCACTACCTACGGCTTGTGTACTAGTATAGTTGGCAAGTGAAATATTGAATTAATTTTCATTTTGTAGATGATTTAATAATATAATAAATTTCATACTGTAAATAACTTTTTAATTTTTTTTACAACACTGTTGGTTTCATAAAGATAAAATGATTTATTTTCCAGATGTTTCTATGTCCGTAAGTACATCTCGGAGTGAGTTTGGCGCAAGAGCCGGCGCTGTACCTGACGTCGATTAGCAAAGCTTACACAATTACTTATATAAAACTGCTGCACTATCAGTGTTCTTGTCAATTTTAGGTCCGACCATACAGTATAGACGCCGCGTTGAAGTGAAATCATAATATGAGGGCCACCCTGGCGTTAGGATTTTTAATAGTCCTTGTGTTAGTGGAAAGTCGTCGTCTACCTTCTAAAAATCATGAACAGCCGAAAGATAAATCAGAAATAAGCGATCAAGCTCCAGCCGCTTCTGGCGATAAAAAAGAGGAGCATAAAGACCAAAATTTTAAAAAAGGCGGTGGCAAGGAACATCATGCTCATCATGATAACGAACATGAAGAGAAGGGACATAAAGGTTACAAAGGACACCATCATCATGAAAAGGGAAAGAAAGGTCATCGCGACGAGGAACATCACAAAGGTGAGTATGATGATCACGGTGGACATAAAAAAGAACATCATCATCAGGATGGCCACTATGATGAACATCACAAAGGCGAAAAAGGCGAAAAAGGTCATAAATATGAAGAAAAAGGACATTATAACAAAGGTCATTCTACTAAAGGCCACCATGAAATTCATAAACTTGATGAATTTAAAAAGGATAAGCATTTCTTCGATGAAGAAGGTGATTCGGGACATGAAGAGAAACATGGTGGTTTCCATGAAGAGCACGGTCACAAGAAAGGTGGTAAGTTTCATAAAGGTCATCATCATGGTGATCATCATGAGCATGAACATGGCGAGAAAGGCCACCATGAAAAAGGTGGACACCATCATGAGCACAAGGGGCACAAAGAAACCGGCGGTCACGACCAGCACTACAATCACCACCATGATCACGGACACAAGGGTGATCAAGCACATCACAAGAAATGGGGTTACAAAAAAGGACACTAAAACCACATTGTCTAGGGTGGCACGGCTGTACAAAGGTCTAAAGGATGCTGTGGAAAACGGCATTGTTACATTTACTTCTATTTATTTATTGTTGAGACTTAAATTGTTAGATGAGATTCTCTTTATATTTAAATACTGAGTCGAGGTGGTCGAAACATAAATTATTCATTATTATTTAGCCATTAAAATTTGTAATCATATCACAGTTGTTTTATTTATTGATTTCAAACGAACACGAATTATGCACATGCCATTCTGGAGCACGAAGATTGTAAAGTAATGGAAACGTTGGAAATTTTAAAACAAATAATACAAGCGTAAGATTATATCGTAAAAGTGTTTTTAATCAAGATGTAACGGTTAATAGCGTTTTTTTAGATCATAAAACCATAACGACCCGTAAAAGGGAAATTTTACGGAACAGGGAATGAATTTGAATTTTACACAACGCATATGCTTATATTCTATTCTCGGGTATTATAAAGTGCGAGAATCCAGTGCCGCTTCTACATGCTTTTAAACTAATTACCGTTCAAAGCCACCACTCAAAACTGTGTGGCTTTCAGGTCGATATTATGCTTTTGTTATCTTATGTTTCAGCGCACCAAGCATTAACATAGTTAAGTACATTAAGTTTATTTAACTTTGCTTAATGATCGTAATACATCCGTACTAAAGTACATTAGAGCCTATCTAGTCACAAAGCTGTGAACCCTTTGAGAGGTACGCTTAATGATGCTGTTCCAAGAGTGCCCTATTTTTCAAATAAATGTTTTACTTAATATATACATATATGTAAGAAGTTCTTAAGTATCGAATTACCTTATATACCTTATATACAGAACATTTACTTAGGATTTCCTAAAGTATTGGTCGAATTACGAAAAATACAAGGATTAACTGTCAAGCTTGTAATTTAGAGTTCATATCGCACATACGGTGCGATAACGTCACTTATGCAAATTATGTAATTTTTCAAGAGAAATTTTGGAAATTTCAACATCTTATTGTATAATTCTTGTATAGTTCTGCTAGGCTATAGAAATAAAATGATAATATTTAAACTCCATGAGTAAAAGCAAATATCTCTCTCGTCTCACTAATAACTATTAAAAAATTTATTTTCTCATACTCAGTTCAGTGTTAACAAAAATTGCATAAATGACTTTATAGCACAGTATATGCGATATGTAAAATTAACGTGTAAGAAAAAACCCTGTTCTAAAAACTAGATACTCAAAATTTTCTTTTTTAAACGAACTTCCCTTGATACTAGCAAGATTTCAGAGTTTTCTCACATTTGAACTGAGTGAAAATTTACTGAGTTTGTACACACGCATTTCACGACTCTATTATTTAGTGTCAACATTCTGAATAAAGTGGTCATGGCAGACAGAGTTACGAACTATACTAGGAGAAGTTATAAAGGTTCCATTTTTTTCCATTCCGATCCCTAAAAATGTCTATTGAACTATCAGAAAATATACTGTTGTAGACTAGGTCGTTAGTTGAGTCAATCAAGAC